CAGAGACCGAAAGCCCCCAAAAGATCAGCACCTCTGGGCTATGAACAGCTTTCTTCCCTTCTCAGCTCTAAGTTGATTCACACCTAACCTCATCATCCTGAACATGATTTCACTGGGAAGAATACCAACCCTTCAAGCAAATACAAAGAGCAGCTATGATTTTTTAATCTCCCTTTATGTAATAAGGAGTCTCCTAAGGATGAGCTGAATCTGATTTCAGGCCAATCTAACCTTGATGTCACTGAAAAAAACCCAAAAACAAAAACGGGGTGGCTCAATCGGTTAAGTGTCTGACTTCAGCTCAGGTCATGATCTCATGGTTTGTGAGTTCAAGCCTCGCATCGGGCTCAGAGCCCAGAGCCTGCTTCACATTGTGTGTCTCCCTCTCTCTCTGCCCCTCCCCTGCTCACTGTGTGTGTGTGTGTCTCTCTCGCTCTCAACAATAAATAAATAATAATAATTAAAAAAAACAACAACGCAAATGGGTGGCTCACCTGAGAGCAAGGATTTGCAAATTTACAGCTGCTGAAGTCAAATCCTACAGGCTGATATTAGCATTATCCATCTCGCACTTCATTGACAATGAATGGAAAACTGAACTGCACACTATAAAATTAGATATATTTCAGTATTTTTCAAGCTGTATCTCCATAAGCCTTTACTATTCTTTACTTGTACCTTGTACGGGAGGCCGAATTTTCAGTAATAGCCCCCAACAGTTCAAGTGCCCAATCCCTGCATCCTGTGAATGTGGTGAGCTCTCACTCCCTGTGTTCTGTCTATGGCACAGTCAGCCTTCAAAAGGGGAGATTATCCAGATGAGCTTAATCTATTCAAGTGAGCCTTGAAAAGCAGAGAACTTCCCCTGAGAAAGAGAACCTGGTGGCAGAAGGGAACATCAGGGAGATTCCAAGAATGAAGATTTTCCACACACCAATGCTGGCTTGAAGATAAAGGTGGCATCTGGAAGTTAAGTGTGGCCCCCAGCTGACAGCCAGTGAGAAAATGGGGACCTTAGACGTACAATCAAGAGGAATTAAATACTATCAACAACCTGAAGGATCATGGAAGCACAGAAGAACCCAGCTGATTGACACCTTGCTCTTGGCCTTGTGAGGTCCTAAGCAGAGAACCCTACTGAGACTATGTGGACTTCTGACCTACTGGAGTAAGATAATGAATGGGTGTTGGTTTTAGTTGCAGAGTTTGTGGTAATTTGTTATGCAGCAGTAGGAAACTACTACCACATGCTGATTTGTGTGCCGGATCCCATAGTTTTCTTACTTTGTTGTGGTTCATAATCCACTGGGTTTACAAGCTGTGTGGCCTCAGGTGAATTGCTTGTCCTTCTTGAGCCTATAAAACCTGCCTCACTGAGTTTTTATGAAGATTAAATGGGATCCACGTAAAGTGTTTACTGCAGACCCCGATGCTCAGCAGGATCGCAATCAAGCTCCCTCTATGCATATGTATTTGTATAGTTCCCAGTGTCCCTGTCAATACAGAGCTTCCTGCATGCTCTCGCACAGAGCCAGGGACACTGGAGGGGCTCCAGTGCCAGTCCTGCTAGTATATATCAATTACCGAGGCCACAGCACCTTCCCACTGGTCTAAAAGGAGTGATTCTCAAGTAGGCACAAGGGGTGAAAGCGTACAAGGAGGGCAGGCACCAAGGAGGTTGCAGTAATTAGGGGCTGAGAGAGGCCTGGTTTGGGTGCAGCCCAGGGGCCCTGGGTGGGCTGTGAGGGACGGTGGGACTCTCTTATGTGAAGCTGAGATCAGCCTGCATTTCGTGCCAGGCTTGTGCTTTGTACTTCTGGTTCCGGGGAGCCTTCAGAGGTTGTTTGGCAGAGTTTCCTGATCAGCTGTGTGGACTAGAGATGAAACACTGGTGTGGGATGGAGGGGCTGCATGGGATGGATGCAGAGGCGGGGACTGGAAGCACCAAACAGGCGGCTAAGTTAGTGTTCATCTTTACCTTTCAAGAAAAATATACACACATCTACTGGAGCCCTTTATTCATAGTGAAGCCCTAAGATTCTAACACATAGTTTAATGTCCTTTATATGAGGAATGTGTCTGCCCCTGATGGACTTCAAAATAAAGGTTTCATGTACAGGGAGGCATGAGATGGGCTCACCGAGGCAGAGCCGGTTAGCCCTGAAGGGGCAGAAGTGGACAGGGCAGTGGCCTGACTCCCAAGGATTAAAAGTTACGGTCTGGATTTTAGCACAAACAGGGGGCTGGAACAGTACGTTCCCAGGGCTGGCTTGAATTAGTTTGGGATTCCCTTCTAACTGGGAAACTTCCAGGTGCCTAGAGGAAGGAGGAGAAGATACTCAGTTCTGAATTAATACTTGGAACTCCTGCTTTCATAGAAACAAGGTTATAAATAATGGTTTGGTTACAAGCTGGCTTCTTGAATGAGCAATAGCCTGTCTGAATCCAGTCCATTTGTAACTTTGTTATTATATTATCTTCTGGATCTTTCACTAACAACTAGGCTTTTGGAAAAATACCTATTTGTAAAACAGAAATTATCTGTGGTTATGAATTTATAATCATGCCAATTCATCAGATACAAATTTAAGATGCTCTTGAGAATTCCTTATGTTGCTGCAAAGGACCAGACCAGAAAATATCACCCAGAATATTGGCTTGTAAATATTTCTATTTCAGAATGAATCACAGTTTTTGTTTTTATTAGAATAGAACTTTATTTGTGGTGTCAAGATTTTTAAAAATGATTTTATACTTTATACAATAAATTTGATACATTAATCTTGATATATATTTACCATATGAGAAGAATTTTTAAAACAATGTCAAATGGCTTATAATCAAATTGAATTGTGTTTAACTTGATAATTGTGTGGAATAATTTCAGCATTATAAATAAAAAAATGAAAACAAATACCATTTTAAATTTGAGTTAGGATGAAACATGTTTGTATTACAATTTTATGTCTATGTTAAAGTTTGATTACTGAGAAAATATAGGCTAACATTATGTGCTTATAATTCCTAGAAAAATAGAACATTCTTGCTTTATGAAAACGACCCTATTTACTCTCCAGCTGTAGAGGGCATTTGAGACACTTTTCTATCCGGGATGAGAGGCTGTGTCACTTGATACAGGTTCCGTCCAGACCATCAGCCCACACCTGAAGACAGAGGGGAAGATGGTCCATGGCTGGGAGCTGGTGGAGTGTCTGGTTTCATTGACACCTTGTTTTATTGGAGTTACAGGATCATCCAAGTGAATTATCAGTCAGATGAAAAGCACGCTTTGTATTTTCTCAAGCTCTGGTCTGCTATGATATTTCACAGAAATGACATTTAAACAATCATGTGGTAAAATCCTGTGTTAACAAAAATAGTTTTCACATTAAGGTCTCTATAATGAAGACATTTCAAAATGCATTGGCCCATATTAATATTATTTTGCTGATGTGGAGAAAATGAATTCTGATAGTAAGATCCATGTACAGATAAACATATATACACACTATCAGAGATGTTCCTACTTCTTTGTCTATTAGCAGACATTTTATTTTTAAATGAAGAGGTTCTTCTTTGGGAGTGTAGCTAGTGTGCACACCTGATTTGACAAAATCTGATGATCAGCACAAAGCGCAAAGCATCTATCTTCTGATTGTATCATACTTTACAGAGCAGCTCTCTGGAACTTCTAACAATCTTCCGTGACAATGAGGGTGGGTGTGATTGTTCTCCTTTGATGGATGAAAGAACAGGGGCCCAGAGAGGTTAAGTAAGCTGCTTCAGTTTAAACAGCTGATATGTGATAAAACTAGTACTATATCTGGTGGTCTTGCCTGAATGCTGGTTAACACAGGTGAAGATAAAACGCGGGGTGCGCTGATCTGTCAGTTACTTTCCCTTCGCCGTGCTGCAGATGTATTTGGCAAGTGGTTTGGCTCCTGTCACACTTGAGATCTCTACCATGTGCTGATAGGTACCTACTGTGTTGCCAAACTAAAACCAACAGCCAGGAGCACTTTTTTACAACTCTTGTAGTATATATATGTATTTAAGAAGATTCATAACATATATTTACAATTATTCCTAAATGACCAGACACCATATTGAGAAACAGGCTGAACATTCTGCAAGAGCATCTTCTGAATACTCATTCTAATAAGCGTATGAAACACATCAATACAGTCTTGGCACACTTTATCTTTGCAGGTGTCCTGGGACTCTTTTTTGCCTTTTGCTGCTCACCCCTCTCTGGATTGTTTACAAATTCATTTATAGATCTATAAGCTCCTTGAGGTGAGGACTGAGCTAGATATCTTTGAAGCTGACAGCCCTGACCCCCAGGGCCTGGCACAGGGCCGAGCACACAGCAGGCACGCAGTAACACATTTGTTGAATGTATGCACATGATTTTCACGTACTTCCATTTGGTTAAAGTAGGATTCTATTGGTAGCATTTTTCTAAAGAGTTTCAGATTTATAGTAAAACATTATCATTTCCATAGTAAACAGTATTTTTAAAAAGCGTAAGAAATACGGTAATAAATTTAATACAAACTGTGCATTATGACTATTCTTTGGTTATTTTTAACAAATTATTTGGTTTTTTGACTACAGTGAAATACTAAAAATATAAAAATGCAACTACAGAAATTAGCTTAGTCTGTAAACATAATAAACCCTGTAAACATAGATTTACTACATAATTGTGCAAGTGTAAAGAATGACTAGAAAAGGCAAGTGCTATACACTTAACTTAATTCTTCAAGGCATGTTTAGAAATACTGCTCTGTGGAGCTTTTGTTTAATGTTTAAAGAAGGAATTCTTTTCCCTTAAAGACGAAGGAGTGATGACCATGCTGATGAACCAAGAGGATATACAGGCAAGACGACAGAGTTAACACTCTTCACACTCTGCAAATTTGAACTTGCTTCACATGTTTTACAAACCACCTTGTTTAGTAAAGCTACATATTAACAAAAGCCAAATACTTTTAAAATAAAGAAGTAAACATTTTTTTTTACTAAAAAGTGAGTCAGTTGACTAAAAGTACAGGTAACACACTTCCCAAGGATTTTCCAAAAATCTGGGTGCTAAGGTGCCATACGAAGGTCTACAAAATCATAAAACAGCTGCAGGAAGCACTAAGTATATTGCAGTTTACTCAGAGTAAAGTATTCTTATCCAAATATCAGTTTTCTTTCTCAAAAAGCATCACACTTTTCACACATGACACTTATCACAAATATTTCACAGTTATCATTTCAGTAGTTTAAGAAACAACTGCCTGGCCAATACTGTAAGAGAGGTAAATGTTAAGGACAGAACTCACTATTTCCGGTGCACAGGCCTTATATTCTAGAGTGTGAACTCTAAAGATGGAGAGAAACAGTTGTATAAATGCAACACATTATTTAAAAGTGAATGAAATAATGGTAAGGCTGTCATGCTATTTCTTTGTATGCTTTTATATGATTTTCCTCCACTCTCTGGGAGGAAACCATGGCCAAGGTGTAGTAGTTCCCTGGAAAACCGTCAGTCAAGACTTTGCTTACACAAAAGCAGGAGTGAAACACTCCGATTGTTATTTGCAATCTAATCAACGCCATCAAAACCCTGAGTGTTCTCAATGGCCATCTGAAGTTTATCCCATAATTCTTCAAATGACTCATAGGGCGGCAAGTCCAAGCGATTAAAGCTGAAAGAACAGAGAGGGACTGGTTACCACGCTGACAGAGCAAGTCTCACGGCGGCAACAGTAATGCTGCTATTTGTGACCTGCTCAGCAATGCTGGAAGACATTTTATCTGGGGAGGAGGAAGATACAGGACTGGACGCTAGCCATGGATTCGTCCCAGGACTTCTTGGTGGTGTCCTGTCACAACCACCTTGACTTCCCAATGTCTGGGCTCATCTGCTATTTTAACCTCCCAAAGGGAATGTTCTAGCTTCCCATCCTTCATGCAAGGGAGGCAGTAAATGGTCAACAGTTGGGACCAGCCTCTCCAATGTTCACCTACCTGGACTTCAAGCCCAGGCCTACCTGGCAAAGACACACCTGTTCCACGGTTGGTGTTTCTGCTTTCTCCATTGCTGCTGCTGATGCAGCACAGAGTGGGCTAGACTTTCTGTACCCAGACTATCTCTTAGAGGAGCTTCGCTTTCAGAAAACTTGTTCTCTAAGGGTCTAAGAAACCACTTACCATGTATGGGCTCTTGGCAGCTTTTCAGGGGTACCCCACTGTTCAACTGTAAATGACTGTGGTCCATTTGAGCCTGTCAGGAAGAAGAGTTGCTTTGGTTTCATTTATTCTTTTTTTTTATGTTTATTTATTTTTGAGAGAGAGAGAGACAGTGTGAGTGTGGGAGGGTCAGAGAGCAAGATGGAGACACAGAATCCAAAGCAGGCTCCAGGCTCTGAGCTGTCAGCACAGAGCCTGACTTGGGGTTTGAACTTACAAACTGTGAGATTGTGACTTGAACTGAAGTTGGACACTTAACCTGAGCCGAAGTTGGAAGCCACTCAGGTACCTCTTGTTTCATTTAATCTTTATAGGAATCCCTAGAATTTCACAACTCATTTTTTCCATTGTAGAACGTAAATACACAGAGAACTTTTGCTGTTTCCTAGCTGTGTGTTTTCACATACCACCTCCTCCATAGGTACAAAGAGAAAATGAGTTATTTTCTTTCTTTTTTCAGTCCCATTGAAAATAGCTTTATTTTTTCCTGATTATATAATCTCACTGCAAGAAAATTGAAGCAATAGAGAAAAATACAATGAAGGGTATAAAAATCACGTAAAATTCCACTATTAAATCTGAAAAAGCATTAGATCATGAATCATTTTTTGCATGTGCATACATGTGGAATTTTGTGTGCACATGATGTTATCCATGCTACATTTTTGTTTTATTATGGACACTTTCAGAAATTTTTTTTCCTTGAAGTTTTCACTTAGTTCTTCCTTCCTCCAATTCTCAGCATCCTCCAAACACCCAGGTAATCCGTACTGACAACTCGATGTAAAAAACCTTTCATACTTTCCCCCATGTCTTATAATCTATCTAGTTATGTGTGTGATTGCCAGAAGCAGTACTAAAAATATTGACTATTCTCAATATTAGTTTCTCAAAAAGTATTGCTTTTCACACACCACACATCACAATTATGTTCGCAGTTAAAATTTCAGTACTTTTGTCATTGTTTTCCAAAACATGGAATCATATATATTTCCCTGCCTCTTAATTCTCTCACCTTAACAATCCACTGCAGGGGCACCTGGGTGGCTCAGTCAGTTAAGTGTCCAACTTTGGCTCAGGTCATGGTCTCACAGTTCATGAGTTTGAGCTCATGAGTTTGAGCTGTGTCAAAGGCTCAGAGCCTGGACCTGCTTCAGATTCTGTGCCTCCCTCCCTGCCTCCCCCTCCCCACTCACACTCTGTCTCTCCCTTAAAAACTAAATAAACATTTTAAAAAATCCATTGCGAAAACTTCCTCTAAGTCAACCGATATAAACCTTACACACTTTTTATTGGCTAGATGATAGTGGATTATAATATTAACATTTTGAAGCAAATGTTACTTCTTTTAGAAAATGCGTAACAATTTGAATTATATGCTAATACAACCACCTCTGGCTCCATATGTGGGATATTTCCCCCAAATTCCAAACAGTTCACGAAATCAGTGGATGGCTGTAGGCCTGGACTGCCTAAAAGAGGGGTTGTGGAGCTAGACATGGAAGTGGGTGTTTGTCCTGGCTTGGTCTTTCCCTACTGTAACTGGCTAAAATATAGGAGAAGAGAAAGGAAGAGAAGTCACGGGAAATCACTGCAAAGACAAATGCAAAGAAATCCAATTAGGCGAGGAAAGGGCACGCTGGTTAGGGGCAGAGCTCTGGTCCCTTTATTCTCACAGGGCGCAGTGGCTCTAGGCAGGGAAGTGGCAGCTGCTTAACGGGTTCTACAAACAAATATACACGAAACTTAAGGAGACCAGGCTTGCTGAGGAGGAGACCACCGTGGTGGGTGGGGGCTAGTGAGTCCATCAGACAGTGACAGCTTCCTCTTCGCATGAAAAATTTGGCTCAATAGCTGCTGAGGCAGCAGTACTGACTTGTCGTCCCAGAACAATTCCAAACTTCGTTGTTGCTCTGAGTGAGACTTTAATCTGAGCTATACCTTCTCTGAAAGATTTTCTTATTAGAATCTTTAAAAGCAAGTAAATGTCATTTCAATAAACAGACATTCACTGATTCGAGAAAAGTTGATCTACATCAGAAACAGTAGGAGTTTTTTAAATGTTTATTTATTTATGAGAGAGAGAAAGACAGAGTGAGAGCGAGCAAGCAGGGGAGGGGCAGAGAGAGAGAGGGAGGGAGAGAATCTCAAGCACTGATAGTGCAGAGCCTGACATGAGCCTCGAACTCATGAACGGTGAGATTATGACCTGAGCTGAAATCAAGAGTTGGATGCTCAACCGACACAGCCACCCAGGCGCTCTAGTAGTGTTTTTATAAAACACACTTCTAGTGCTATGAGATATATCAACTGGAAAACAGTTTGATAGGATGTGCAGAATTTCACTTTATAGAAACAGCATTAATAGTAACTATTCTGAATATTGACAGATATGTGCAGTCTCGTCCCCATTCCTGCCATTTCCTACAAGGCTGAGGAATAGTAGGCTCATGAGATTCTCTACCCTCCAATCACTACCACATATACACACAACACACACACACACACACACACACATATACCACGCACATCCGCACCACATATGCACACTTTTCCTGTGATGGAACATACAGTGGGAATCAAATTTAAAATTCAAGAATGGAGGGGTACCTGGGTGGCTCAGTCCGTAAAGTGTCCAACTTTTGGTTTTGGCTCAGGTCATGATTTGATGCTTTAAGCCTACTTGGGATTCTCTTTCTCCCTCTCTCTCTGTCCCTCCACCCATCAATATAAAAAAATATAAAATAAAACTCAAGAGTGGAAAGTAACTCAAGTCATTGTATGCTTTTTCTTTTGCTATCTGATTAGAAGGTGTGTGTATCTTCTGGCCTACTTCAGTGTATCTGATCAAATCATTTAAAGATTAATTCTTTTTATTACGCTAAATGTATAAATGATGAAGTTTGATAACTAATCAGCAATGAAAAACACAAGAGGCATCACTCCATTTTTAAGTGATCTATGCAAAATCCTTACCATATAGCTCCGCAAACCCATTCATAGGCACACGAGATGTACCAGTGACAAACTGGAGTAATCGGATTCTTTTCTCTGAATCCATCATTAGGACAGCCTGAATAAGATAAAAACAGCATTTAGGAATATCGCTGGAACAAAAGTAACAAACTGACCCTGAAGAATGTTGTCAGAACTTTTAGTATTCATGATCAGTTATAAATGTAGACCTTTCTGTTATTTAAATTTATGTTTATGGGTGACTACAAATTCCTAAAACTTCATTTCCAAGGCTACATGGTAACTCTTTAGAATGAGATCACAGCCTAATAAAGCGACAAAAATATTTTCTTGAATGTGAATCATGGCTTTTTAATTTCTTTAACGTTTTTATTTATTTTTGAGGGAGAGACAGAGCATGAGCAGGGGAAGGGCAGAGAGAGAAGGAGACAAAGAATCCAAAGCAGGTTCCAGGCTCTGAGCTGTCAGCACAGAGCCCTATGTGGGGCTCAAACTCATGAACCATGAGGACATGATCTGAGCTGAAGTCGGACGCTTAACTGACTGAGCAACTCAGGCACCCCAAAGTCATGGCTTTTTAAAATTTACATGCACTGATATTATGAGTTGCATATATATCTCTCTATTAGATGGAAAATATATTTAAAGGAGCCATGCAGGAGTCCCAGAAAATACAAGTGCTGTTAAACAGTTTCTAAGTTAATAAGGAACTAAGCACCCATTGTAGCTGTTATAGCCACTGACTACTTTCTAAACACATACTTTTCTAGAAATATGTGTGGAGTTTGGAACTCTACCCAGAAGGTAGACGTATACAGAACAACATCATTTTTGTCTTATCTATATGTAATCTACTAGTATGGTTAAATTATGATTGAATCTATTGAAAAGTAATTTATGGAAACAGAAGCTTTCAATTACCTTCCAAAACCACTGTATGACTTGATGATTTACACTGTAGCCATTTTTATACTTTGTGTGTTCTCTCCAGTCATTCACATCAACGTCTCCCAATCCACACATAAGAAGCTACATAATAAGAAAAGTCAAATTGAAGACAGGAAAAATAATGGATATTAAAATCCTGTTTTAAAGTAAGAATATTTCTTACCTCTAGCTCATTTTCATCGAAAATTTTGATGAGATCCTGTGGTATTAGTTCAAAAAATCCCTAATAGAAAGAATGTAGTTAAAAACCTGATTAGCTTCTGGGTTGTTATGGGAGAAATCCCACACACACTGATTCCTACCACTACCCAGTCATGGCTTCTTAAGTTAACCAAGATTTCAAAATTGGCAAGAAAATACATGTGCCCATGGTCTGTTCTCTCTCTCACTGATTCCTCATAACAGCTATTTTTAAACTTTCCCACATTTCCCAAGCAGCTTCCTCCTCTTCCATCCATCCTTTACAGAAGATAATTTTTATTTGAAAGAGAACATAGAGGTGTTTATGGAATTCCCTCAGCCTTCTGCATCCCCACGTATGGACCAGCACTGAAATCGATTGTGGCCTCCTTCTCACTGCAGTGGAGATAGGTGCTGCTTCCTCTCTGTGCTTCATTTGCTTCCCCAAGGGGCTCATCTCACTAAACCTCCTTCTTTTTATTAGCTCACTCCTTATGTATTTACATTTATTTAAGCCTATCTACCTTAAAAAAAAAAAAAAAGAACAAAAAAGCAAACCGTCTTTCTTGTCTTTACTGCCAAATTATTAAACATTACTGAACCCACCTGCTCAGCCCCGTCCCTGCCTCCACCCACTGTGGTCTGACCTCTCTGCCACTGTTTCCCTGACGCTGTCCTGGAAACAGTCAAAGACATCTCTGGGGCTAACTCTGATAAACACTTTCTAGTTCTGTATCTTGTTTGACTTATCCACACTATGATATTGTTGAACACACCTTTGTTCTTGAAACTCTGGCTGCTGTTGACGGTTTTTCTCTTGTGTCTCTGTCTGCATTTGCTAATTTGCTTTCAAATCTTCTTTTCTTTCTTTTTCATTTTTTTTTAAAGCAATGTCTGGTACAATTGAATTAGTCTACATGTCTAGGATTATGACCCTGATATTGGTGGTTTTTTTTTTTTAAGTTTACTTATTTTGAGAGAGAGAGAGAGACAGACAGACGGACAGACAACAGGGGAGGGGCAGAGAGAGAGTCCCAAGCAGGTTCTGTGCTGACAAAGCCAGACTCAAAGCTTGATCACGACCTGAGCTGAGATCAAGAGTCTGACACTTAACCAACGGAGCCACCCAGGCACCTGAAGTCTCCTTTTCTACTGCTCAATCCTTCAATGTTGGTGTTTCCCCATCTCCACAGTGGCCATCTACTTTCACTGTTCTTACCATTCTTTCCAATTTCCCACCTTACCTAGTCCACAGTCCAATGCATGTAAGCAGATGATTTCCAAATCCATGCTGCCCAACGGATCTCTATCCTTTAAAGCACCCTAAGCTACAGTTCTCCCTTCGGAATGCCATTCAAGTACATACGTGGCCACCACCGCTACCATAGCTCCTGCCTTCCTTTTTCTCACCTGTATCACTGTAGCGCCTTCCCATCTGGCCCTGTTGCTAGTCTTGTCCACCTCTCATTCTCTACCCACCACTTCTAGAATGATCTCAAATGTATACTGAATCCTGCTGTTTTACTGTAAAATGGCCTTTAATGCCACCTTCCTTCCCCTAACTAGCCTTCCACAAACCCCCCAAATTCCATCTTTGTTTCCAATTGAGCAAAAAGACCCTTTGTAACCTGCTTCTGCTCAGCTTTCCTGCTTAGTTTTTCCTCCTGCATCATCTCACCAGTGTATGTATGAATTAATGGCATTTTCTCTAACATGTGCACAGTCTATCTTATTGCCAGACTACACGTGCCATACATTGTGCTTAGAACTGTATTGACTTCTTCCACGTTGCTGGCTGGTTCCTCTAAGCTTTCCCTGTCCCTTCCTGCACCTCCCCTGGCCCTTTTCCAGCTCTCCTCTGTGCTTACCAAGCACTTCAGGCTTGCCTCTGTCCATTTCACTCCAGATGTGCTGCCCCCTAAAGCAGGACCTATGTCTTTCTGCCTCATGCAGTACCAGATACATAGCGAGTGCTCAATACTGAATAAATAAAAAAATATGTGATGAATATGTAACAGAAGATTTTAAGTTAGCTTAAGAGAAGGGTGCGCTGGGGGCACCTGGGTGGATTAGTCGGTTAAGCATCCGACTTCCGCTTAGGTCATGATCTCGCGGTTCGTGGGTTCGAGCCCCGCATCGGGCTCTGTGCTGACTGCCAGCTCAGAGCCTGGAGCCTATTTCAGAGTCTGTGTCCCTCTCTCTCTGACCCTCCCCTGCTCACGCTGTCTCTCTCTCTCTCCTAGAAATAAATAAAAAATATTTAAAAAAAATAAAAAAGAGAAGGGTGCGCTGACAATAGCCTAAATGTCCACTAAGAGGGGACGTTTAAATAACTTATGAATTTACATTATGAATAAAATGCAGTCCCAAGCACAAGCAAGGGTAGTTATGCATCTTGATATGTAAAAATCTCCATAAATATTTGAGAAGAAAGTAAGTCACAAACCAACATGTATAGTGTGATCCCATGTAGGAAAATAGGCAGCATATTCCACTATTCCTACAGCACTTTTTTTTTTAATGTTTATTTTTGAGAGAGAGAGAGAGAGTGAGCAGGGGAGGAGCAGAGAGAGAGAGGGAGTATCCAAAACAGGTTCCATGTTGTCACTGCAGAGCCTGATGTGGGGCTCGAACTCATAAACCATGAGATCCTGACCTGAGCTAAAGTCAGATGCTTAAGCTATTGAGCCACCCAGGTGCCCCTCCTTATCCTTGACCCTTGTTCACCTAAGATTACTTAAGATGCAGCAGTCATGACTGGGAAAAGATGAGAAGCAGGGGTGGACATGAAGAGGGATTGTTAATGGTAACCCTATGGACTTTTTGAATGACTGAGTTTGAACACTGAATATGTATTCATTTAAATATTTTAATATTAAAATTTGTTTTCAAAAGCCAGTTATCTATTAATTCTTCTCAGACATGGTTGGCCCCAATACTTGAAACTTCTGAATTGTACTTTGAAATTACAGAAGAACAAGCGAAAGTAAATGAATACCTCTTTAAAAGCAGCCATTTGCTTCTGGATTCGGTTTACAAATCGCCACTGTATTACAAGACTAAAAAGAAACAAAACATTTCATTTCTCATTCACATGAACCAAGAAAAAAACTTAAGGTATATTTATTCCAGTTGGAAACAAAAAAATAATGGCTAGGTAAGCCCAAGGCAACAAAATGAATATGAGTGGATAAGCATGGCATTGTTACAGAAAGAGAAAAAAGAACACTGAAACTCCGGTGATGAAGAAAGAGAAAGAAGATACAAAAAGGTCCCTCCCACAAAGAACTACAAAGTTATTTAAAGTATTTGCTAAATATAATAAAATACTAACAAAATACTTACTAAATATATTCCTTTTTGTTCTTGTTGGTGACAACTATTTCTGATCCACCAATTTTCAACTCATGTTGATGTGTCTAAAATTAAGCATGATATCTTGATATATTATTTTAGTGAAAAAAATAGAATATACATATTATAGTTATACCAGAAACCTGGTGTTTTAAATTAAATCCATTCACAAGCTAAGAAAACTTAAAATATTAGTTTTACTAAAATAAACATGGAATGAGTCAAATGTCAAAGAAAGCAGAAATTCTTGCTGAGACAGCTTTGTTACTGGAAAATAAATTTAAAAATAGAGCACAGAAATGTGTTGAGGATGTGATTTAGCTTCTAAAGTTATAACATTTGTTTCAAAATTTATGAACAATTTTAATTAATCAAAATTTACAAACCTGTCCAAAAAGTTCTTCATCTATGACAAACCTGAGGTCCAATTCTGTTGGATCATTTTCAAGAATCCATCTTAGTGAGTTGTAATATTCACTATCCTAGATGGAGACATCACATATTTAAAATGTGTACATAAAAAGAAAACCCGTAAACCTGGAAACAAAGTATGCTGAGGGTTTGAATACTTGGACAAAAGATGAAGTCAGTAGGACATTTTTCCTATACACACAAGTATTATAAAAAGAACACAGTGGCTAGTAATATGAGAGTAAAAATGCATAAATCAATAGAATGGTGACTGCTTTAAATTTTTTTTTAAGTTTATTTAATTTGAGAGAGGGACAGCATGAGCAGGGGAGGGGCAGAGAGGGAGGAGAGGGAGAAAGAAACCCAAGCAAGCAAGCACTGTCTGCATGGAGCCTGATGTGGGGCTCAAACTCACAAATGGTGAGATCATGACCTGAGCAGAAATTGAGAGTCAGGCTCTTAACCGAATGAGCCACCCAGGTGCCTCTGAGTGATGCTTAGTTTGAAAGTTTGGAAATCTTTTTCTATATAGCAGAAGTGGAGGGACAGATTTTATTATCCAGTTGAAGCATCAAAAAAATAGTTCATTTTTCAATGAATATTAACTTCCATGGATACCCAGGAGCACTTAGCACCTTTCTCATATGGCCAATTGAGAGTCTGTTTAAGAAGCTATGAGCAGGTTGTTATGTATACCTAGCCCAAGTTAAAGAAACATCTCAAATTAAATACAGAACCTCAATTACACAACTCAAATAACTGTGAAATCTTATGATTCATAAAGAATTATACTGCCCACATTGGCAATGTATCCCAAGAAAGGAATAAAAAATATACTTGGTACTCAAGAAGAGATCTTGGAATCCATGTGTACACACAGTATATGAGGCTATTCAGTACAGATAGCAGGGCTATAGTCAGGTATTTAATCCTTAGGTTTCCATTTCTTTGTAGTGGCCTAACCACAAGGCCTTGCCTTTGGGCTGCCATTTTGAAAACATATGCCATTTATCATAAAAGATCACAATTCAAATGTTGATGCAAGAGATACATAAACATGTTGTATAGCACACTGAAGTAATTAGGGAGAAGTTTACTGATATTGTAACATTCTTTGAGATGCATCAGAAAAAGAAATGGATTGATGGACACATGGGTGAACTGTGGACTAATGTGTAATAAAGTAATCACAGAAAACCCAAGTACGGAATCTTAGTGGTGGAGACACATATGTCTACTACAAAAAAATTTTTTAAATGTTCATTTATTTTTGAGAGAGAGAAAGAGGGAGAAAGAGAGAGCAAGCTTGAGCAGCAGAGGGGCAGAGAGAGGGGGACAGAGGATCTGAAGCAGGCTGTGTACTGACAGCAGTGAGCATGATGTGGGGATCGAACTCAGGAAATGTGAGATCATGACCTGAGATGAAGTCAGACGCTCAACCAACTGAGCCACCCAGGTGCCCCTGTCCACTATAAAATTTTTAAAACTCTATTATGTGTTAGAAGATATTCATAATAGAATGTTGGGGAAAATGTTTGTTTGTAATTCAGAACATGATAATCTATTAATTTCTTCATCATTAAATTCTAACTTTTTTATTAAAAAATTTTTTTTAATGTTTATTTATTTTTGAGAGAAAGACAAAACACAGCATGCGAGCAGGGGAGGAGCAGAAATAGAGGGAGACCAAGAATCTGAAGCAGGCTCCAGGCTCTGAGCTGTTAGCACAGAGCTCGACATGGGGCTCGAACCTACACACTGTGAGATTATGACTTGAGCTGAAGTCAGATGCTTAACTGACTGAGTCACCCAGGTGCCCCTAAATTCTAACTTTAAAATAACCAGTTGCTTGTTAGATTATACTTTCTCTACATTATAAGTGAAAAAGACATACCACTGATTCCATATCGTGAAGTGTTATTGGTTTGTGTAGCATCATCTTGTAAAATGGGCGGATGAAAAAACCTTTCAAAAAATCAAATATATTGAAAATGATTACCAAATGAAAGAAATAAGATAATTTTACTTAAAAAAAAGTTTTATGCTTAATACTAACCATCCAACAGTTTGCCATGATAAACCGCCATTCCTGCTACCCGGCCAATAAACTTGAAGTAAGAGAGGTGATCCTCATTACACAATCCCGAGTTTGGATTTATCTGTAGGGTATAATTATCCCTGTAAAGACAACCACATTTAAAGGCTCCTTTCCACACTTCATATAAAAGTTTTAATACAACAAATAATTACAAATTAGCTCTGTTTTTGGAGTTGTTTACCTCTATTAGAACCACATTACACCACTGGATTTAATGGTTTTAAAAATAGTCACTTCTGTCAAAAGTAGAAACAACCCAAATGTTCATCAATAGATGAATGGATACATAAAATGTGGTATTCCTCTCACATAATATGCCTCAAAAAGGAAGAAAACATGCTATGCCACGGATGAACCTTGAAGGCATTATGCTGATGAATTAAGTCAGTTATAAAAGTAAAAATACTGTATGATTCCACTCATATGAAGTATCCAGAGTAGTCAAATTCATAGAGACAGAGGCAGAATGGTGACGGCCAGGGAACAAGGGAATTAGTGTTTAATGGGTACAGTTTCAGTCTGGGATGATGAAAAAGTTCTGGAGATGGATGATGGTGACAATTGCACAACATTGTGAATGCACTTGATGCCACTGAACTGCACATTTAAAATGGTTAAAAAAAGGGGCGCCTGGGTGGCTTAGTCGGTTAAGCGTCTGACTTTTGCTTAGGTCATGATCTCACGGTTCGTGGGTTCGAGCCCCGCGTCGGGCTCTGTGCTGACTGCCAGCTCAGAGCCTGGAGCCTGTTTCAGTCTGTGACTCCCTCTCTCTCTGACCCTCCCTCCCCTGCTCACGCTGTCTCTCTCTCTCTCCTAGAAATAAATAAAACATTAAAAAAAATAAAATGGTTAAAATGGTAAATTTTATGTTATGCATATTTTACCACAATTTTTTAAAAAGTTGTTTCTGAAACAACATTAGTTATAGTCTCCCCTTTCTGGAACATTATAACACACATTTCTTTGCATCATAGAAATCGTTGTGACTTTCATTTTTTTTTTTTAAATTATATTTTAGGGAGAACGCGAGCAGGGGACAGGAGCAGAGAGAGAGGGAGAATCCCATGCAGGCTACATGCACAGTGCAGAGCCTGACGCGGGGCCCTATCCCACGATCCCGGGATCATGACCTGAGCTGAAGTCAAGAGTTGGATGCTCAACTAACTGAACCACCCAGGCATCCCAACTCTTTGTTGCTTTCAAAACAGTGATTTTTTTTCTGCATACAGTCATTGTGAAGATACTTACGTAGCAGAATATTCAAACAACCCATAATAAGGGTTAAACATTTCCTTTGAGATCAGGAAGAACCATTCTCTGGCCACTCCTCCATAATCTAATCCCTTTTCACCATCGAACTCAATCCACAGTCGAGCCTTGAGGAAATCCGCTCTCTTGACACCCATAATTCTCCGGTAAGAGTCCTCAAGGACAGTTGCACGGCGAAGTTTCATTTCGAATTTGTTTGGAATGTCATTCTGAAAACCCAGAAAAAAGAGACTTACAGTTTACATCAATTCAACATGATGGCAAATGTATTTCTCATGGAAGTTACAAAAATCATTGTGTTCTACCCTGTGCCCAAGACCCTTTTCTAAGGAACACGTGATTAGAAATACTGCCTCATATTTCCTTTATGGTATAAAAGAATTCACATACTTTTCTCTCATCACATAAAAATATAGATTTTTGATTTTTATACTGGAAGAAGCAGTTACTGATAGTGGCAATAACGCTCACATTGAAGGCATTTCACGAGCAGTCATTTCTATATTAAGTTCCAAACCATCCGGTGACCTACAGTCTAGCCAATGCCTGCTGTTTGCTGCCTGCCTGATGGTTCAGGGTTTTTCCCAACCTCCACCTTTCTTCCTCAGAGCCTCTTCTGCTGTACTCATTAATAGGCACTAACATTCACAGACTGTCCCAGGCACGGTTCCCAGCATTTTAATGGGTTAATTCATTTACTCCTCATAACAACACAATGAAGAAGCTATTAATATAACCTCCATTTTATGGATGAAGAAACTGAAGACGGAAGTTAAGAAAGTCTTAGCTCTCAAGTTTCTGCTGTCTCACTGATTTTTTAATACCTCCTTTGCTTATGCTACAAATGTATTTAACTATGCTTTTAGGCAGATCTTATTGTAAATTTTATAAAAAGATGTATGAATATTTTATTCTTGAGTGCTTTGTGAACAATGTTCGGTGGAAACCAGTAAGAGAAAATTCTGTCACTTCAAAAAGAGGGAAGAGGGTTAATTCCAAGGAAAAACAAATCAATCTCACTCTTAATATATTTAGGGAAAACAGAAAGCCCTACAGAAACATAGCAATATAAGCAGTTTTTACAAGCACTATAAGCATAATACAGGCAGTTTCCTCTGCTGCTTAATCATTTAAAAGTAAAGGCAAGATTAGAGAAAAACAATTTGAGACTAGACACAGGCATCCTGTGCAGCCAAGCATTTACTGAGGGCCTGCTCTGGGCCAGGCTGTAGGCTAGGTAGCTCTGGCAATGGGGATGGTAGGTAAAGGGAATAAAACTGTGGTATAAGATATGATTCCTTCCTCAAAGAGTTCATAATCCAATTTGTGTGTGAGAAATAAATGTAAATATTACTAATCCTGAGACTTGCAAGAGTAAGAAAATTGCTAATAATAAAGATATAAGCCATGTTCTGTGGGACCTAAAAGACTGAGCTATATTATTTGCAAGTGAGGTGATCCAGGAGGCTTTAAGAGCACATCCTGACTGGGGGGAGAGGGAGGAAGTCCTGAGGAGCAGCAGGCCAAGGGAAGAGCACACAGGGGGGATTCATGTATTTAGCAAGAGAGAGCAGAAAGGAGGGAAGGCGTTGCTGTGAGAAGAGAAGGTGAAAAATGGTGTGGGACCAGAGGGTAGGAATGGTGAATGCTGACTGGGAAGAGCTGCTGAGTAAGGGGCTGCAAGATCAGATTGCTCTCAGAGGCTGATGGGGTCGAGTAACAGGTGGTTTTAAAAGGAGAGATAAGGAGTGCGTGGGTGGCTCAGTGGGTTAAGCATTGACTCTTGATTTCAACTGAGGTCATGATCTCATAGTTCGTGAGTTCAAGCCCCACACTGGGCTATATACTGATACCAAAGAACGTGCTTGGGATTCTTTCTTCCCCCAACTCTCCACCTCTCCCCCACTCAAGCTGGTGTGCTCTCTCTCAAAATAAGTAAACTTAAAAAAAGGTTTTTTAATAAAATAAAAGGAGAGACAAGAGGCACACCAGTCAGTTAAGGGCCCTGAAATAGACCATGTGAGAGAGGGATGGCAATGGAAGACACAGATGGAGCGACTTCCTTGTTTGGGCTGAGTAGTGGACCAGGGTGTGGATGCTGGGGTCAGGGTCCCGGTGTTCAAATCCCAGCTCCATTTCACATTTCTTTTCTAAGGCTTAATTTCCTCATCTGTAAATTGAGACAATAATAATAGTCACCCCATGGAGCTGTTTCAGAACTCAATGGGATAACGCATTTCATGTTATTTCATGTATTACTTGGTATCGGGCAAATGGTGAGCTCAGCCATCCTTGTTCCTCACTAATGAGATGGTAAGAAGAAAAGGTTAAGGAGAACTCAGGGCTTTGTAGCGATGGTTTTTAAACATTTTTATATGTCTTGGTGTTCTGCTCTTTTGCTGTAATATGTCTGATACAGATTTTATTTTGTAAATCCTACTAGGGACTTTTTGATAAACTAAGGATGTAGGTTCTTAGCCTCTTCCTCATGCTCTTGAGTCTCTCCTTCTGGAACAACTCCATGTTTCTTAATCTTTCTTTCATTTTTTAAAATCTCTTTATACACCTTTGTTGTATTCTGGGTAACTTTCTCTCTTAATCACCTATATATGTAATTTTGATCAAGAACATGGACTATGGAGCAAGACCACTTGTCCAGCTTTGCCACTAATTACCACAGGACTTGATCACATTACCAAATCTCTCTGTGCCTCAGTTTCTTCACCTACAAAATGTGATAACAGTCTCTTCCTTATACAGTTAGTATAGATTCTACATCAGTACATGTAACTTGCTAAGAAGAATGTCTGATTTGCAGTGAGAACTTAATAAGTATTACCGCTTTCATTGCGGTTTCTGTGTTCTGTGACCTGTTTATGAAGGTATGTTCCATATCTCCTGCTGCCTGGAAGACTTCAACAGTTAGATACTGTAACATGCTTGTAAGAGTTCAGAGTGGCAAGTGGAGACGCTAGTGCTTCTATTCTAACAGCATATTTTCATTAAGAGTGAGAATATTTAGGGTTCTGAGCCTGAGTAGCTCAGTCGGTTAAGTGTCTGACTTCAGCTCAGGTCATAATCTCGAGGTCTGTAAGTTTGAGCCCTGCGTCTGGCTCTGTGCTGATAGCTGGGAGCCTGGATCCTGCTTCAGATTCTGTGTTTCCCTCTCTCTGTCCTTCGTCTGCTCACGCTCTGTCTCTCTGTCTTTCAAAAATAAATAAATGTTTAAAAAATATTTTAAAAAGTTAAAATATTTACCAGAACAATAGATCAACAAACTGTTAATATCCCAAAGAATTTTAAGTAGAAGACAAATTTCCAGGAGCAATTTTTATACAGTTATTATTGAGGCTGAGTTTAAAAAGTTGCTGATATTTTAGGCTTTCATTAAGGTACAAGATATTTTCACTAAACAACTATTGTATTTCATTCTTTGTTAAGTTTTGGATGAAAAAAATCTGTGGTAGCAGACCCACCATCTTGAATCTTTGGAAAAGCAAGCTTCCGGCTTAGAATGCAAGAAAAGTGTAACCCAATATAGCCACCTAGTGGTACTATTCCTAAACTGCAGGGAAAGGGGGAAAGTATGAGCAAATTAGAAAGGCATTGCAAAACGGTCATCACCAACAGAAATGAAATAGATGGGCAGATGATGAGTGTAGTTCCAAACATTAAATTTGTGGTGATAGAAAAAAAGTAAAGTATACTGAACATATCTGATAAGAGGAGACCAGCAACAAGAGCACTGTGACAATCACAGTTGTATTTTCAGATTTTGAAAAGATATGATATATTTGAAGTTGTAAGGAATGAATAACAGTGACTGGAAAACACAGTCCAAGCAGAAAAGGAATCTAGAGAGTCATCCTACATAATCAGAGATCAGGCTGGGGGATCATCTCCTGAACTGCTCTTCCTCATATTTAAGCCCAAGCTCCACAAACCCTACTAGGAAACCAGATCAGAGCTCTTTAAAAGCAAACTTGAAAAGACTTGTTCTATATTACAAGGTATCTTGGAAAATAAGGAAAGACACAATATACAATATAATTGTGGTCTCTAATGATATGTAACATTGAGTGGTCAAGAAAAAGCAAACATTCCCCACAAGAAACTATTCAAAGTTGTTAAAATAGAGAATAAATTCTCTACTTTTACTTTTATTTTTTTTTTAATGTTTTTTATTTATTTCTAGGAGAGAGAGAGAAAGACAGCGCGAGCAGGGGAGGGTCAGAGAGAGAGGGAGTCACAGACTGAAACAGGCTCCAGGCTCTGAGCTGGCAGTCAGCACAGAGCCCGAAGCGGGGCTCGAACCCACGAACCGCGAGATCATGACCTAAGCGAAAGTTGGACGCTTAACCGACTAAGCCACCCAGGCGCCTCTCTACTTTTACTTTGAAACATGCATTTCCCACACTTTCAGTCTATAGACCAATCATTCCTAAGAACAATATAAATATAACTAACCTGCTTCTTCAACTTTCTTCGGAAGAACTCATACTTTCTTTTGTAATCCCTGGAGTAGGGCACGGCCTTGAGTTGAAAATTTTGGAAAAATAAAGAAGGTTTAGGTTGTTTTTATTCTGGAACAATTTTTAAAGTTCCCCTCTGGATATTTTATGAACATAAGTTAAAGGCATTAAAAGAGAATATTTGGAAAGAAAAGTTTAATTTGCAGAAAAACAAATACAAAACTTAAAATTTTTTAATTTCTCTGTTTAAGATTAAATTGTATTCAGCAATTCCCATGGCTGTAATTTTCATCATGCAATATTCTTGAAATGCAAAAAGCCAGAAACAGGAAATTTCTTCCAAGTAGAGAAATATTAGAAATGAAAATTTCCATTTCTAAAGAGAACTTCAAAGTGATTTCTCCTTTAAGGGAGCAATTTGAAAAATGTATTTTTTCCTTGAACTCTGAGGAGTTGCCTTTTTTACCCATTATTTTAAAAGACTAAACATGGAGACTAAAGAGTAATCTGAAAGAACTGGATCTTCAATTACATTTGTTTTTGTGAATTAGAAAATAATTAAAATCTCAAAAACTAAAAATGGAACAAGTAGCTGTATAAAAGAAAATGACTCTCCTATCATTAAACTGACTCAAGAGCAGTATAAACATTATACACAATAATATTTATACTTAAATGTGAGTATTTTACAGGCCAGCATTTATAGTAATTTCTACCAAAAAGTTCAACACATGCCCCTGGAGTTGACAGGATGCTGTCTACTTTCTCCTCTGGTACATTCTTGGCTCCTCTCTGATCTGCTGAGGATTGCCAAAATTCTCTTTCAGGCAGAAGCAAGTACCAGCCTGAGGACAGGGGCCCACTGCCTTGGCATTTGGCTACCTGGCTCACTAGTCTCCTAAAGCTATTGCAAGCATAAGGACAAGGAGTTTATACCTCTTTTCAATCCATTGAGACCTTGAGTGGGGGTAGTGGGAGAAAACAGAATTGCAGACATGCCTTCCTCTCAAAGTCTGTGGGATTATACCCTTGACCATTCACACTTGAAAAGACAGGTGAGAGGAAAATCCCATCAGAGCATACGGATACAAAGAGACTTACTGGTCCAGTTATTGCTACACTCTGCAACCGGGGATCTTCCCATTGTGTTCTTTTTATATCTGAAGAGGGAGAGAAAAAAAAAGTGTTCTTTATTCTCCTGCATAACATTCAATATCACAAAAAATTATGTAATGAAAAGTCTCATTGCACATACTGTGATTTATATAGAAAATTCTTCCATCTGTATGAGTTCTTTCTTCCCATCCTGGCTATAATGAAAAATATATTTCAATTATTTTAGGAAAGGGTTTTAGATGTATGGGTAAAAAAATGGCATTGGTTTCATGGTTAGTTTCCATATTCCATTCTTAGTAGAAGGCATCAACATTTTAAAATAACACTACTTATAGTTGTGGAAAAACTACCGTATTCCAAAATACAAAATGTTGGAGACAGACGGGTTAGATTGCTGGCATTTCTACAAACTTACAGGTAAAGGCCCCAAATCATTGGAAGAATCAAGTGATATCTTTCCTCTCAGATGAGCTGGAATTTTCAGTCTTGGATCTTCCTTTTTTTGGTAGAGTAAATAAAAAAAAAAAACCAACACACACACACGTTTTAAAATCAAGAAAGTTTGTTACTATGTTTTCTAATATCAATTGATATTTAAGATATTCTCTTTTAAAAGTCTACTTTTATTTCATTTGCTTCAACTGTGAAATGATAGTTTCTCTGTCTAAAACGTATCATTCGAAGGCTACAATATTCAGTTCTCAGATCTCAGAGTAGGATCAGTGTTACACTTCATCTCTTTCACGGAAACCATTCAGAGTACTTTGCCCCATTCTTTAGGGATTGTGTCACTACAGAGGTCTCTTCTCTAAATAAAAATTGCTGAATGAAAGGGACATTAAACTAGACCATGTGTTATTACTGAGGCCCTGAGCATGCTTTTTGGCACCTGTCTGTCAAGGTGTTAAATTTATTTTTTAAAGCTTAGGAAGGTAAGCTCAAAAAGGTTATTAAAGTCAATTCAAATTGCTAAAAAAAGAACAAAATTCAATGTTTGGGTTAATTTATATATATTATTGCTTTAATATTCTTTTATTATGTAATTTGTTAAAGTATTTTAGTATCATTAAGGTATTTTGATCTTTTAAGTAAATTAATTAATCAAAATCTAGTCATCTGTTTCTGATTTTCTGTAAGTTTTCTATTAGTGGTGAGTCAACTACAAAACAACTTTAAGGCTTCTTTTAAAATAAAACTCATTTGGGGCGCCTGGGTGGCTCAGTCGGTTAAGCGTCCGGCTTCGGCTCAGGTCATGATCTCACGGTTCGTGGGTTCGAGCCCCGCATCGGGCTCTGTGTTGACAGCTCACAGCCTGGAGCCTGCTTCAGATTCTGTGTCTCCCTCTCTCTCTGACCCTCCCCTGCTCACGCTGTCTCTCTCTCTCAAAAATAAACATTAAAAAAATAAAAAAAAAAAATAATAAAATAAAACTAATATTCTACCTAGCCTCCGCAAGGTTTTCTGGGAATTAAATGAGATGCAGTTTCAAAAGTACTTTGGAACTACAAACCAACATATTAAGGTTAAGGATTATTACTTAATATCTTTCTAAGCATTTATTCTACTGTGTTAAAAGAAATTTAAAACAGGAAGTAAGTGTATTTCCATGACAAACCCTAAAAATATTAAAAATGGGCATAAATATATCTTGAGTAGAAATAATACTGTTAAGAATTCAGTGTATCTTCAAATGAACAGTAGGAAATATAGGTTATATTAATGCACACTTTAAGGCTATAGGGAACTGTACGTAAGAGTTAAGATTGTTGTTCTAAATTCAGACCAGAGAGTATTTAAGTTACCCAGGTAGTAGTTTTGGTGTTGTGGTCGATAAAGAAAGGTCTCCCATTTGGTGCGTGCCGGACTTCCCAGCCTTTAGGAAGGAATCCTTGCTCCATTTCAGCCGGCTGGGTCACCTGTTGTGCTGAATCACTCAGGAGAACTTGTGGTTGTGGGCGTGTGGTTCCCTGGCAGGGCTGCAGCTGACCGGTCTCCACAGTGGCCTAGCACATTAATTAAGTCATGTTGTCATGTTTTACAGAGAACACACAAATGGCTGCGGTTAAAAGCTAACAGCCTGCAAACATAGATCTAAACATTGCAGACTCACTTCTCTCATAAAATGTTTTGTCAAACTTTGTTTTTAAAATAACTTTTATAATTTCTCAGCTAATTCTTGACCCGTAAGATGGCAGTGTGACAGTCCACGTCTGTACTGAGGAAGCTAGGTCAGAGGGACTGTGCCCCAGCTGCAAGGGAAGCCATGGTGCCAGTTAGAGGAGGTTGTCTCCGCTTACCCAAAACACACACATTGTGGGGGATTCCCCAGATGCAGAAGTGGCTTCAAATGCTGGGCAAGCAAAATGAATGGCAAATACCCACTGTAGAAATGGATAATGGAAATGTAATATATTCATATGATGAAATATTAGGCAGTAGTTAAAAGAAACACACTGGATCAGTATTTAAAGGGCAGGGATAGGATTTTAAAACAACGTTGCACAAAAAAGATTTAGAATTACGTAATAGGACATCTTGGCAAAATTTGAAACACAGGAACATAACACTACTTTGCATTGTTTAGCTCTCTATGTAAGTGTGTAGAAGAGACTGGAGGAAGTGTGGGAGGACAATGCAAAAAGATAGAAGTCTGCGGCTCAGAGGAGGGCCCTCCCCAGGACCCAACTTGCTGCACTCTCAACTCAGCCTTCCAGCCTCCAGAACTAGAAGAAGGAAATTTCTGTTTGTTTAAGCCAAAATAGAAAATTAAATACATACATACATACATACATACATACATACATACTGAAAGAATACCCAACAGACTTAAGATGGTGCTTCCCTCTGGGTAGACCAAGTGTTTGGCTAAAACAAATTTGGTTTTTTATCTGATATAAGATTTTACCTTAAAAATTAAAATGTCTAGAAACAAATATGGCAGTAAATTCTGGGTGTTAAGAAGACGGGTATTTGCCCTATTATTCTGTGTACTCTTCAGTGTTAAAAAATTTCTCAGTAAGAGAAATGGTGATAAGATAAACTTTAAAAAAAAGATAAAATAAAATTTTTTTCTAAACACTTATAAGGAAATATCACAAAAGGCACTCACTGTTGCCCAGAACAAAATGTCACTGTCACGAATTTCTTGAACAGCTCCTGATCACTAAGATTATCTTTTAGAGAAATAATGATCTTTAAGCATTTAAATTACAAAATGATCCAATCGACCAAAATCATTTACTCTGTCCTTTTATTCCCAGTTGGACTTGTTTTACATGGTAACAAGTGGTAACCATGTGTATTGGAGCTCTGTAGGAAATCGTAGCACTGATGCTCGCCAACAATTAGAAGATGCTAGCAGTGTCCAGTATATACTACAAAGTGATGTAATAGCTTCCATAGGAATGTGATGGCTATGTAAGAAAACAAGTTAACAGATAGATTGCAGGGTACCTGTGAAGTGGGCTTTGTCCAAGTAGTAGTTCTGGAATTGTGATCTACATAATACGATCTTCCTCTTTCATCTTGTTTTTCTTCCCAACCTGGTGGTAATCCAGATGAAGTAGGCAAAAGCTAAAGTGAAGAAGAACAGGAAAACTGAATATCAATTAAAAAACAATCCTTTTAAAAGGACCACCTCCTATTTTCACTGCTATCTCTCTTTAAAATGAATAGAGTTTTAACTTATATTTTAAGGTGTATGAGATGAATTGTAAAACATTTTACTTAAAAAAAGAACAGAACAGGCCATGATGATGAACGTTGTACCAACATTAATAAAACATGACAGCAATGATGATCACACACTAAATGCTTTAACACAGATCCTGTCATTTAACCTCCACACAAATCTTAATGAGATAATTGCTATTAGTGGCCCATTTTTATTTACAAGGAAACTGAAGCTTAGAACACTGGGGGTAATTTCCTAACAGATACATTGCTAATTTGGAGCTGAGATCTGAACTAGGTAGTCTAACTACAGAATTTATCACCCATGTGTGCTGAGTCAAAATTACCCTGGCTTTCTTTCTGTAAGGGCTGGGAAGTTGCTACTTAGGAGTTATTACTAATAAACAAAGAGATTTGATTATTTCCAGATTTACTCAAAATAGTCCAAATTTGGTCTTCCATTTTGGATTCTTCAAGGTTTGGCCTGGTTCCTCAAAGTGTCTTATACATAAAAACTATTACGACTGGTCTATTTACCAGATACACTGTCCCTAGACACACCAGGGCTAGATATACATTGCTGACAGTAATGATGAGCTATTAAGTCTACAAAATAATGGAATTTAAAGTTGCTCAGTTTTACAAAGGCCCAACAGCTGCTGGGTAGATGAATGAAATGTAGTAGATACATCTACACAATAGAATATCATGAACTACTGAGATATCCAGCCATAGCATGGTTAAATCTCAGAAACATCATATTAAATGAAAGAGGCCAGACATCAAACTACAATACTGGATGATTCCACATATAAGAAATTTCTAGAAAAGGTAAAAGTGTAGCTCCAGAAAGTAGATGAGTAGTTACCTGGCCGGGAAGCAGATGCTGGGACTGAGGGAACTTTTTGGGGTGATGAAGGGTTCTTAAACTTGAATTGTGGTGATGTTAACACAACTGTAGAAATTTACTAAAATTCCTTTATTTGTACACTTAAAAATGAGGGGATTTTATGGTATGCAGATTATATATCATGAAAACTGTTTTTAAAAAAAACCCTTATCAATGTATTGAGAAGAAAAAGGTATGGAAATCACCTTTCTAGTACAAATAAAAATAGAAATAGATGTAAGTACAGATGAATATAAATCATCTCTAGATTGTGCTGCTCATCTAATGCACTAACATTGTTTCTAGGATGAATGCCTGTCAGTCAGTTAGAAATGCAACATTTTCCTTGTAGAAGGACATTACGACACAGAGGGAAAAATACCATGGATTTCCACTTAAGCAGGCTCCCACCTAGTGGAGGAGGCCAGGCAAATGGCAACAGTGAGAATGACGCTGGTGAGGGCAGTCTTTCTGTGGCATCTTCTCTCTTGTAGAGGGTCAATACTGACTGGGCCAATTGCACAGGTACGTGGCCCCCCTCCTTCCTCAGCATGGGACTGTGTCCCTCTATTCGTGCAGGGCCACCTTTTTAGATGGATGAGCCACTCTTGGTTCAAGGAATTTTGAGCCTCTCTGCATCCCCATGCTGGAATTTCCATAAAAGCAAAAACAATCCTCACTTTTCAAAAATAATGTATAGACTGCCATTCAAAATTACAATTGGTGAAAAAAGGTGAGACATTGTAAGTGGGGAAATGGAATGCATAAGACACAGAGAAGGGAGAGGATCAGGAAAGGGGGCAGACTGTTTGGAAGAAAAAGCAGGGACAGGGGTGAAGGTAGCCAGAGGTTTCTGTGGGTGGATGAGGAGGACGGTAGGCTGAAGGGGCTGGGAACCTGGGCGTTTTCATTTGGTTTCAAACACAAGCAAGGGCTGTGTAAAGGGGAGATAAAAGTATTGAGAGTTGAGCCAGGAAAAGGACGAGGGTGGGAGACCAAAAGGGGGTCAGCAGTCCAGGCATGGGGCTGTTAAGATCTGAGAAGGAGGCAGAAGGCCTCAGTGGACGTGGGCACAAGTCTGAAGGGAAAGGAGAGCAAAGGATTGATAAACTCCACCCAACCTGGCCACGGAGCTTGGCAATACCAGTGCATACCCGTCCATGTGACGGAGCCTTGATGTGACGCTTCACGTATGGGCAGGCACTGTTGCTTGGTGGCAGGGGCCAGTGCACAGAGCACAGGCAGCTGGACACAAATGTGAATTATACACTGCCTGCAGACCGCATCTAGCCAGCACAGTGCCACAGCAGAAAAGCCCAGATATCACCCACAGTCACCAGTGCAGAGACCTTGCTTTCTTACTGTGGGGGACAGAGTTGCCCCATTTCATCTCTAAAAGGTCTACCTCCCCCAGTTCCCCTCCCCTGAACCTCATCTCTAAGAACCTAGATTCTGTACTGGATTGGTTCACTGCTAGGCAGTCAAATGTTTCTATTCAGTGTCCAAAGAAGAAAAAAAGGTTTTGAGTTTCCTGTTTTTACTGACAATGAGGGGAGAAGATAAAACTCACCACAGGAAGTGTAGGCTGCTCCTCAAAAGTATAGGCTTGTAAGCTGCCTCTTCTGCTGGAATGATTCTTATAAAACAGGAAAAGCGACAATAGCTTTAGGCTTGTGATTTCTCTCTGAATGACAGATAAGGTAATGGGGGGAGGGGACTGAGGGGGTAGAAGGAACAGTGGTGTGGAGACTCTGTGTCAAGGCAATGGGTGCTTGATACCACCCGTGTGCCAAATATATGTTCCCGTATCGGGCTCTGTGCTGACAGCTTGCTCAGAGCCTGGAGCCTGCTTGGGATTCTGTGTCTCCTTTTCTCTCTGCCCTTTCCCTGCTCATTCTCTATCTCACTCTGTCTCTCAAAAATAAATAAATGTAAAAAAATAAAAAATAGGAGACTAGTGAAATATATTAAAGGTTACTTGCACACTGGAATGATGTTTGATAATTCTTCTTTGTTAGTTTAATTTTTTTTTAATTATATTTTGATTTTGAGAGAGAGAGAGAGTAGGGGAGGGGCAGAGAGGAGGAGAGAGAATCCCAAGCAGGCTTCACACTGTGAGTGCAGAGCCTGATGCAGGGCTTTAACTCACAAACTGTGAGATCATGACCTGAACTGAAATTCAGGAGTCAGCTGCTTAACCGATTGAGCCACCCAGCCACCCCACTTCTTTGTTAGTTTTAAAACGAGTATATCTACATTTACTGAAATGGTCCAATGTTTATAACAGAACAGTGAAAAAGATGATCTCAGGTTAAAAAATGATATAATAATATATGTGTGTACATATATGTTTATAAATATATAGAAAATGTTAAGCATAATATATGCCAAACCATTAACAGCAACTGAGGGAGCATATGCTAGAGGTAAGATGGAAGATTGATTTTTATATTATATTTCAATACTGTTTGAATTTTTAACTGTGACCATAGAAAACTTTGAAATATTAAATCATTATTACTTTTTAATTTTTTAAGTGTTTATTTTTTGAGAGAGATAGAGAAAGAGAGACAGGGCATGAGCAGGGGAGGGGCAGAGAGAAAGGGAGACACAGAATCTGAAGGCAGGGTTCAGGCTCTGAACTCTCATCACAGAGCCCAATGTGGGGCTTGAACCTGTGAATCAGGAGATCATGACCTAAGCCAGTCAGATGTTTTATCAACTGAGCCGCCCAGGTGTCCCAATAATAAATTAAAAAAAATTATTATGCACATGGCATGAAATTCAGAAAGTACACAAAACACGCATCCTGCTCATTCTGTTCCTCTCTTCAGAGATGACGAACATTAGCAGTTTCCTGTTTTATCTTCAAGAAATATGATACACCTATTTATTTTGTCATGTAGAAAATTTACAGAAAGGGTAGCATATCAAACACACTGCTCTGTACCTTCCTGTTTTTCAGTGACCAATATGTCCATACAACATGTACATTCAAAGCCACTTCATTCTTTTCATGGCTGCATAGTATTCCATTGTATGAATGCCATGTGTTACTTTTATAAATAAACAAAATAATTGAAGGAAAGGGAACAGGAGCTTCTGTGATTTATCACCAGCAAATCAGTATGGATTATCCTCTATGTCTTGACCATTCCCATGCCTCTGATGAAAAAATAAAATGAAATAAGTGGAAGATAGAATAGTCAGGTGGAAGAGAGGAGGGAAAGGGAGCAGGAAGTTCGATCTGCTCTCGGATATTCACAGAGGTATTTATACAGAACTACCTACACTGAAGTTTCTTGAAGAAGATGCTAACACAGAAGTCAGCAAACTTTTTCTGGTATGGTCCAGATGGTAAATCTTTTTTTGTGGACCATACAGAACTGTTACAAACTCCTCAGTTCCGTCAGTGTAATGAGAAAGCAACCACAGGCAATACTTAAACCAACAGGCCTGGCTGTGTGCTGATACTTTAGCCAGCACACAATGCCTTGCATATAGTAGCCCTCAATAAACATTTACTGATCGAATGAAAGTGGGGAAACGCCAACTAGACATGACTATAGATCCTCAGAGAATAATCTCTGTCTTCCACTGAAAGGTCTCCCTTGATGATACACCTGAGAGAACTGGACACAGAGATCTCATCATGGCAGTGTCTGTTTGAATATTAGCCTCTGAACTCCATGGGTACCAATTTTGATAGTGGTTGCTGGAGAGACAATACCATCTATTCCCCTGTTTAGTCAAAGTACCTTGGCTCTTATTCACACACGTGTGCCAGTGACAGATGTGGTATAACTGAGAAGATGAAAAGTAGCCCCTGACAGGCAGGACTTGGCCTAGCACCCATCAGTAGGGTCAAGACAAAATCAAGACCACTTTGCAATCATTCCTGGACACAGACAAAACACAAACACTGTCCAAGCCACAAAATACTAAACATCTCTCTATTGGCAAATATGAGTGACTGCTGCTTTTTTTACTAATTATAGCTTTAGCCTCGCTGTACATAAGATGTGAGATACCAATCACAGAATCACCCCTGCTTCTTGACAGCATTCAATGCAGAACAAAATCCTACTTCCTTAAACCTTCCTCAAAATCGCCTAACATGAACTCAAATCCTTCAAGTCTTTCCTAACATTCTCTTATAGAGACACTCATGGTGTGTGTTCTCTTTACTGAAATCAGTAATAAACCTAAATTGTTAAATTACAAGTGTGTTCCTGGGACTCTCTGGCTGGAAGGCACTGTTTTATGTAATGGACATTTAGACTCCAATGAGCATTTGGATTGTCCATGACTCTGCTCCATACTATTAGTGGAGATATTTGAAACATGACCATACTGTAAAGTCCTAAAGTCCCTAACACGTTATTACATGCCATTTAAGACAACATTTTTCTTATCACAAGAAAAACATTTTGTAGCTATGAGAGGTGATGAATGCTACCTAGGCTTAGTGTGGTAATAATTTTGCCATAATGTATACATATATTAAATCATTATGTTGTATACCTTAGACTAGTAAAATGTCTGTCAGTTACATCTCAATAAAACCAGGGATAAAATTTTACAAAATTTACATTTTGTAATACTTACAAAGTTTCATGTAAATGTTAGATACTGAACTGAATAACACATATAATATAAAATCCTGAAGGTACAACATCTAAGAGCATCTTACTGAGCTGGATACTGGCTGTCCGGTGGCTGAATTTCTACAAAAAGTGAGTCTGGCATTCAATTCTTCTACAAGATGAGTCTGAACATCCAAGTTATTTGATGCTGGAGGTGATGGGAAGGCCTGACTGCTATCCGTGGTGGCTTCATCTTCTCTTATAATTTCCCAGCTCTAAAATAAACAGAATAATCTTAAGCCACATATATTTTAATCTATTGCTTTAACATGTGTCTATCAATAAGAACAAGAAAATCATTTCTACCTCAGAAGACTCTCGATTATCAACACTTTCTGTCTCCTCAGATATTTGCCGCCTGGTGGTAAACGCACGTTGTGCCTGCAGCTGAATATTCCCATTCTCAGCATCTGTTAGGCTGTCCCTGTATTAGAGATATACAAGCCATCATCCATGTCTGAAGACAGTTAAAATGAGAGTCACAGATGGAGTGACTATTAAAAAAAATACCTCATATCAGAATTCACTGTCTCGGCCAAGGCTATTTCAACATGCACAGACTAGGTCATGGGCACTTTGGAATCTTCAAACCACCTTATGGAATTAGCATTTTGTGAAAATGTGTGACATGTCTGACTTTGATATTTTACTTCATCACCATGCGTATACAATAATGTATGACATAGAAGGGAACTAAAAAATATTTGTTGAATAAATATACCTGAGAGATTCATAAATAATTTTATTATATTATTATTTTGCCTTATTATTATATGTGTAAAATCTAAAGTAGTTCTAGAGAGATTATAAAAAAGAAACTTTAAGAATTACTTATACAACTTCATGAATCAGACAGTAACATTTTCGAGAATCAATCTTAAGCCAAGAGTTGAGTTCCCCATACTAGAGGGAAAAATGAAAGATCATATAAGAAACATTGTAATTAAAAACTTAATAGATTACAGATTAAATAGTATCTGGTTTTGATCATTTACAGAAATAGGCCTGGTCTGAAAAATTATAATAGTAAAGGTGTGTCTGGGTTTAGGAAAGTTATATAAATCAGACTGAACACCATTACCCCATTAATTAGTTTTAGTATTCTAGCTATTTGCATTTACTACAACCAGGCCATCAGATCAAGAGTTTTATACAAATATTTAATAACAAAATTATTGTTAATTTATTTAATGCCATATGAGCCCAGGATAGTTGAAAGATCAGTTCTTATTATACTATTGCTGAAGAAAATGTCATTTTGACAGATGGTCTTAAGGGAATGCTTCAGGTTTTCCCCCCATATATGTGATTTAGGCTAGCTGAAAATGACATTAATGATAGTGAAAGAAATGTTTTCTGCTCAAGTCAGGCTTGCATAGTACTGAGGTATGCAGTAGGATGATTTTGTAGATTTCTATAGTGTCTTCAGATTTCCAATCTGTACAGGTCTCTACAGAGATTGATGCCTCTGTGCCATGAAGAACTATGATCACTGATTTACTTTAGAAGGATCTGAGAACAGAAAATATCTATGAAAGTGCTTGGACTGTATCAGACACAAAATACCAAAGCCCAAAATTAGAAGGTTAATGGACAAATAAGAAAATTTTAAGTCTCTGTCAAAAAGTAGAAGGCTAAAGGGGAGCCTGGGTGGCTCAGTCAGTTAGGTGTCTGACTGGCTCAGGTCGTGATCTCAGAGTTCATGGGTTCAAGTCCTGCATTGGACTCTGTGCTGACAGCTCAGAGCCTGTTTCAGATTCTGTGTGTCCCTCTCTCTCTGTCCCTCCTCCACTCATGCTCTGTCTCTCTCTGTCTCAAAAATAAATAAATATTAAAAAAATTTTTTTTTTAAGTAGAAGACTAAAGAAAGCCTTCATAGGCTATAAGAGAGGAGAAATGAAAGGGTATCTGATAATAAATGTAATGGGACATTTGTGAATGTGTATTTATAAATATATAGTCTGATGATAATAAAAGAAAAATATCACTGAGGAGACATCAATTAGAATACCTCAAAGGTCATTCTATCCTTGATCTGTGTGCAACAGAAATTATGTATACATTGACCAGACTGGCAAATGAGTGTTTAACAGAAGACGCTTGTTATTCAGCCCTCCATATTTTACAAGTATATTTAGAAGTATATTTCAAAATAGTGTATTGTAGAAGTTAACAGTTTATTATGCGTTAGTAACAAACTACAAAAATTTCTAACATTTTCTAAACCAGTCTGAATAGAAAAATGTATCCTTCTGTGGCTATAAAGTAATTAAAAATAAAGAAGCAATTAGAAGAGTGGCATTTGGACTCAAGTAATTTTGAATATCATCAAATTAAACTTAATAAAAGAAACAGAATGGCATTTTGAAAGTCCCGAACCATAAAAATCCTCATATTTTTAGAGTTAATGGACCCCTATACTATTATGAATCCATTTGAGATATGACTTCAAAATGAAAATCTGTGGTCAAAATGTATTCAGATTACAACTGTGAAAGTCACCAGCACATACTGAGGGGTTGGTCTTTTCCACTGTGTTCTTCTAGATTCATGGTTTACATAGTAGGTCCTTCCAAGAATATCCTGCCTCTCTTCCCATCCTGGAGGTAGAGGAGAAGGTTCTTGTTGCTGCTGCAAATGGCAAGCAGCATCCGGTTGGTCCAAAACAACCCAGCCAGGCTGAAAACGAGAGTGGTAACAATTAAGTTTATGCTTGATGTTTTTCACCTTATAAATTATGCTGGAGGAAATTTAAAAAGAGATTTAGTATGACCAGTTCCAGAAATTATGCAAGGACAGAATTTGCACAGTGACTATCTTTAAGACCATAATATGAATATTTTATGATAATGAAGGTTTTTTTTCTGACAAAATAATAACATTTAAGCTCTGCTTGAAATTTTTAACTTTTTTCAAATAAGTTTTAAAACATACCTAATAGGAAAAAAAAAGACAGAAAAACTTCTAAATAAACAGATAATTATGGAAACCATTGAGAAACTGAGAAACAGTTTAAACTAATGTAACCCTAGGCTATTCTATAAATTATAAGCAAATAAATGAAGGACATGAATTCTGTCTTTCCTCCAGAGAAAGCACATTGTTTATAATGGAAATCAACAACTATTGGAGACCTGAAAAAAAACATCAATAAACGAAGCTCAAATATGTATAGGCATGGCAGGAAAGGCAAATAATGTAGAAATAATTGCTACAGTCAACTCTCTAATAACTGAAAATCCATTATGATTCTCCAGTCTGATTTTTCTCATTCTCCTATGGACCATGGAAAGGCACTTTGGTCAGGTCATAAAACAGCCAAAGAAATAGTTTTGTTTGTTTTCTTTGTGTTGTTTAAATGACAAGAAGGCATTGGAAATTTCCTCTGATACAGTGAGGGGCAAATATACATGAAGCTTAAGCTATGGAGATTAGGGTAAGGAATTACTTGAAAGGGTGATAAGTTAATGGCATATTTTTATATAAGGAACCTCCTAACAGAAGAGGCAGTAGTGAAAGGTCCTACTAAATAAGGCTATGAAGGGAGAAATAAATGAGTGAAGAAAAACTTAAAAATTCTCCAAAAGAGACATAAAGAAAGACCTGAATGAATGAAAAGATATAATATGATCTTGGTTAGGAAGACTCAGTCTCACGAAGGTGTAAATTCTCCCCAAGTTAATATATAAAGTTGCCAAGATGCCGATAAAACTACGTTACAGATTTTTAAAAATAATGGGACAAGGCAACTCTCAAGTTCAAACAGAAACACAAACAAGCAAGAATAACCAGCACAATTCTAAAGAAAAATAAAGGAGTGCCTGGGTGGCTCAAGTGGTTAAGCTTCTTACTCGATAATCTCATGGTTGGTGAGAGTGGACCCTGAGTCAGTACGGAGCCTGCTTGGGGTTCTCTCTCTCTCTCTCTCTCTCTCTCTCTCCGCCCCTACCCCACTCACGTGCATGCATGCGCACTCTCTCAAAAATAAATGAATAAACTTAAAAAAAAATTAAAAACTCTATAAAGCTTAAAAAAAAGGAGTGAAGATTAACCCTACTGAATAAATTATATTACATACCACAATAATTGGTACACACATGGACAGACGGCTCAATATAATGAATTAGAAATCTCACAAAGAGACTCAAATTTATAGGAATTTAGGATATGATAAGGATATTTCAGACTTGTGGGAATATAGGCAAATTACTTAGAAAAAAATTATCTGGGTTGCTACCTTCTACCAGGATGTTATAGACTAAGCAATGTTTAAATGTTAGAAAGTAAAAACAACATGTATTATAACAAAGCTTGGGGGATTTAAAAAATATATTCTAAGAGTGGGGGAGCCTTTAAATACAAAAAGGAAGATTGATAAACTTGACTACAAAACTCCCAAATTTGTACATGAAAAAAACTACCAAATCAAAGTGGAAAGAAAAATGGGAAACTAGGAAACATACTTGATACCATAGTTAACAGGCAAGAAAATAATTTCCTTAATATATACAGTCTTTCTTTCGAGGCACTGGGTGGGGATCTGGCACTGAAGGATTGTTGTTTGCCAGCCAGCTGATGGCTTAGAAAGTGGAAGGGAATTCTTTAATGTTGGAAGGCAAAATCTGATGAGAAAGGATCAGGGAGAAGAGCTGGGAAGGAAAGGAATATTTTCTGACATCAGGGAGAAAAGGATGGGAATTTCTGCAGCAAGGCTGACGTCTGGCTGGTCTGGTGGGAGGGCTCTAGACTGAAGCAGGACAGAAGGTGAACAAGGTGGGCAGTGGGTATGGAGAGAGGAAAACAAAGAATTTTTCTGGAAAACAGGGATCTGGATGGGAAGTAAAATTCACTCCTTTTCTTTCTTACTCTTATTTTTTTTCCTTTTTACCTCTTTTTTTTTTATTTTTTTTTTTATGTTTTATTTATTTCTGAGAGAGAGAGGCAGCGTGAACAGGGGAGGGTCAGAGAGAGAGGGAGACACAGAACCCAAAACAGGCTCCAGGCTCTAAGCTGGCAGTCAGCACAGAGCCCGACGCGGGGCCCGAACCCACGAACCGCGAGATCATGACCTAAGCGAAAGTCGGACGCTTAACCGACTAAGCCACCCAGGCGCCCCATCCTCTTCTTTTTAAAAAAGAAATTTATGTCTTTTTTATTTTGAGAGACAGAGAGAGCGAGCAAGCGGGGGAGGGTCAGAGAGAGGAGACAGAATCTGAAGCAGGATAGAACCCACGGACTGTGAGATCATGACCTGAGCCAAAGTGGAGGCCACCCAGGAAACCCCCTTTTTACCTCTTCTATGGAAGCAACATCTCTTTAATTTCACTTCTTTCTTTTTATTACTCCATTCTCTTCTTTCTCTTTATCCTTTTTTTCTCTCCATCTATGTTTACCTTCCTTCCTTTTCTCTCTCCATTTCTTTAAATGATCATAATACAGGATTTACATACCTAAAAATTAGTCTTGTATATATTAAATCGAATTTTAGTTCTCAGGTCTCTATTTTAAAAGTACGTGAGTTGAATTTTTATACTTTGCTCTCTTGAAAAAAGGTTGTTTTTAAAAATATGGTCATTGATTATTTTTCTGTCAATTAATGAAATTTATTAACAAAAGGGTCCTCATTCTTGCTGTAAAGGATTGTAAAAATGTTTAGAGCTCAGAAAATGGTACCACAATATTATTTATTTTTTTAATGTTTATTTATTGGGGGGAGAGACCAAGTGGGGAAAGGGCAGAGAGAGAGGGAGAGAGAGAATTCCAAGCAGACTCCGTGCTGTCAGCACAGAGCTCAATACAGGGCTTGATCCCACAAATGGCAAGATCACGACCTAAGCAGAACCAACAGTCAGTTTCTTAACCAGCCAAGCCACCCAGGCACCCCAAGATTATTTCTTTAAAATCTTCTTAAAGATTTCTCTCTTAAAGGTCTACTTAATGTATTTATGCTTTCTAAGTTAACTTGAGAAGGAGAAAAGCTAATTTAATTGAAGGCCCATTTTTTAAAAACTTGTTTCAAGTTTGAGGAAATGCAGTTATACGTTTGAACACTGTTTAGAAAGACTGAGTTTTCTTCTTCTTTTTTTGTATAGAATGTCTCCCTATTAAACATGTATCAGCTAATACTCTTCATGAAATATTTTCTAAGTATCACTGTTGTTTAATTACTGATAAGTTAGTGTGTGATTGCCAACAACTTAATGGAGTCAAAGATCAGAAAGAAAGCATTTAGAACTACAACACACATTATATTATATGTTAATCTTGTAAAATATGTACAACTAAATCTAAAGTTGCAAAGGGTACAAAAATCAAATGTTAAACAATAATCTATTACAGCTAGACTTTGACATACTAAGGAATACAAATTGCCTGGCATTTTGAAAATGCCAATTGTTTTTCTTTAAATAGTAGACTTTTATATATTCAGTCACAAGCTAGATGTCAAAGACAAGACTTCTCTGGTCATTAGCTACACAGAAGATAAATAAGCATAGACTCATGTGTTTGAATTCCTAGTGCCTTTCATAAATAAACTTCTACATGCTTACATCTACTGAAATTATAAGGTGCATTCTGAGGGAACTCAAACATTGAGACCTGAGGCCACAAAATGAAGTGAAGGACTCTACCCACAGACACTGAACTGTGAATAAGGTACCTATGATATGTGTGTGTGGGCAAAACTTGGAGCAGGTTACTGAAACGCTGAACTGAAATGCTGTTAAGTTTTTTTAAGTTACTAAATAAAGAATTTGCTTTCTTTATAGCAGGCATCCTTCATTTCAAACAGAATTCCATTATGCAGATACCCCGTGCACCAAAATGCCAGGTAGCAAAACTTCGAGCTAATAAATACCTTGAATTTTTAAAAAGTGATTATTATATGATAAGCTAGAGAAAAACTAGAAAAGAAAAGGTAATCAAATAAACAAATACAGCCTTAAGAGAGGATACCAAGTTTTTTGATTGCCCAAATAAAGGTTAAGTATATTCTGTGATTTAAATAATTTTTTTCCTTCTATTATTACAGATTTCTCCCACAAAGTAAAATCTTATCAGTGCATATAAAAAAATGCCCAGAAAGCCCTGTTGCAAAAGGTGGCTTGTTCTCAAGCTTTCTGTCCCAAGGTATATGGGTATCTGAGGTAGCGTCCAGTGTTTGGGAGGTCCCTTATGTTCACACTTCTTCTGGAGACCTAACCAGATCCTGAGCCAAAGAGGCATGACTGTTGAGGAAGGCACATGCAAGAAAACTCTCCAAATTAGGGGTGTTTGGGTGGCTCAGTTGGTTAAGCATCTGACTCTTGATTTCAGCTCGGGTCATGATCTCAGGGTCATGATCTCATAATCGTGAGATTGAGCCCCTCATCAGGCTCTGTGCTGAGTGTGCAGCCTACTTAAGATTCTCTCTCTCTTTCTCTTTCTCTGCCCCTCTCTCTCTAAAACGAACAAACAAACAAACTCTCCAAAGCAAATTGGTACTAATATACTATGTACTTTCAGTAAATGTTGTTATGTCAGTGGGAAATTCAAGAGACAGGGTTCTTTTGTCCCCTCTTCAAATCATGAATATTTCTGCTGGAAGAAACCCTAAAGGTCATCTGGTACAACAGTCATTATACAAATGAAGAGACTGTGGTTCAGAGAAATTGACACACAGTCACTGGGCTCACTAGTACCAGAGCTTGAGACTAGGATTCCAGTCACTAAATCCCTATCTAATCCTATTCCAAATACATGCTCTCTGCTTCTTCCTTACTCACCCTCAATGCATGTAGCTCTGCCCAAATACTTGACTTGGACTTCTTCTTATTTTGTCATCCATGAAATGTTAAATTCTATTTGCCCCAAATAAATATGCCCTTTTATTAGATCACTTGAATTCCACCTCCCCCCCCCCATTCTCCTTCTTTACTATGAATCCTCCAATCCTCATCCTAACTATGAGAGGAAAAGTAACAAGAAATACATTTCATAAAAAGTTCTCAATCAGTAGTCTCCTTAAAATTTCTATATATTTAACTTACAATAGTAAATTATAGTCTTACTTTATTAGAGGAGAATATGACATGGTTTTAAAAAAACCCTGAAAAACCAGAATGAGTTAATAGCTAAATTACAATAAGTGTTTTCATTTATAAACATTATATTCCCTATTTGTTAACCTTTAAGAATGCCATCAATAATGGCCATTCATTCTACAGAAATGTCCTCAGAAGAAAGAAATGTTTAATGGATGATTAGGTAAAATAATACCAAGGTAAATAATTCTTATTGCACATATTAACTTCATTGAATAAAGTTGTTTTCTCTTCAAGGTATAGTAAAGTAAGAAATGAGATATTTTCTTTTTAGTTGAACCAAGTATTTATAAAATCTCACCTCTAACTCTTCAGTCTGTTCTGTGTTTTCTTCTTCTGAGCCACTGGTTTTAGGTAAATAAGTCATTTTTAATCTCAGATAACCTTTAACTCTTGATTTGTGACTGTGGAAAAGAAAATAATTATTCGCAAAACTTTAACACTTAAGAAGAAAAGCACTCATTTAACAAGAGGTTAATGAATACCTACTAGCTACTAGAGGAGACCCCCAAAGACAACCTCTACTACAGAAGACAGCTAGGAAAAGGAGCATGTGGTGGAGACAAAGTAACAGACATAAATAAATACTGTTATTAAATAAATAAGATGCTAAGGAAGTTTGAGTAAAAGATCAGGGAGAACAGGAACGAGTTGCATTTGAATTGGTGCTAACAGAATGGGGAGAATTTTGATCTGTGGCAGTGAACAGAAAGGCATATGAGTGGAGAAAAGAGTGAAACATGAGGAAATGAATGGAAAACCTGGGATACATAGAAGGAAAGGGTAATTGTTAGGTTTGGCTGGCTTATACATAGAGTGGGTAGGGATGATCCAGATGATGAGGTCCATGTGAAACAACAGAACTTTAGATTTTGCATACTCTATGAAGCCAGAGAATTTAGGGGACAGGGAAAGCATCCTCAAAGATACATTTTGGGGATACTTATCTAGTCATACTGTATAGCATGATAGAAAAGTGGAGAGCAAAAGGCCTGATAACTGTCTGAAACCTACCGTCTTTCTTTGACAGCTGTTTGAGTCTGTCACACACTAATTATCTATTTTATTTTATAATGTAATGAATAATGTTTTTGCATCATGAGTTGTCCAGGCTAAAGGTTGCTGTCCATTGTATTCATATTTAAAAATTTTTAAAACTGTCTATTGCCCCCGCCAATTATTTAAGAAGTCCTTCCTTTGTCCTAACTTTCTGTATAGTTATTTTGGTGTTTTTTATAGATATCAGTTATGTAACCAATTACCCTTTGCCTTTCTTGACAAGAGATCTTATCTTTTATTCTATCTTTAAAAGGTACTCCCTCCCGGGGCACCTGGGTGGCTTAGTCAGTTAAGTGTCCGACTTCAGCTCAGGTCATGATCTCACGGTTTGTGAGTTTCAGCCCCGTTTCGGGTTCTGTGCTGACAGCTCAGAGCCTGGAGCCTGCTTCGGATTCTGTGTTGTGTGTGTCTCTCTCTGCCCCTCCCCCAACTGGGCTCTGTCTGTCTCTGTCTCCCAAAAATAAATAAATGTAAAAAAACCCTTTTTTTAAGGTGCTCCCTCCCCTACCCCATCTAATGCCTCCTCCCTTAATCTTTTAGTTGTTCTTTGTACAGTTCTCATGAATTTGGAAACTAGCTTTCCTAAGTGGCCAATAGAATCCCTGCTGTTTATTTCCAAGGCCACTTATGTGGATTGTGTCTCCATTGTTAAAGGGGAGTGAATACTGACTTGTTGCTATAACAGATGGATACAGAAAACTTGCTCAGATAATGTTTTATACAAGAGTTTCTTTACAGTGACATTTTCATGTCTTTCAAACTAGACAATAAGCTTGTGGGGTTGGACTTAATGAGGCTCAAAAAGGGTAAGAATGTAGTACATTTTCTATTTGATTTCAAGTTCTTTCTGCACTTGCAGTGATGGTCTGTACAGACAGAAGATGTAAATTATTATATAATTTTTTAAAGAGAAAGATACTAGAAAGCATTTGACAAAGTAAAAAGTAGGCTATTCGGGCAATTAAAAAAGAGAAGAAACATTTATTCTTGTTATGAAGATGCCACAATCAGGAAGAAAAGAGATATATATTCCAAGATTTCTACAAAAGTGAAATATGTGACTTCTCTTACAGAAAACAAATATTAACAGAGTACTGTCATTTTTATTTTGCTTTAATAACTTATATATTTGTAATTTATATTACAAAGAGTTAATTAAATTTCTTAAATGAAAAATTTTACTCAGTTCCCATAGTATATTTTTCAAATGCATTTTCTAGTTTTCTAGTAAAACTAGATTTTCTAGTAAAAAAAAAAACAAGACAAATACTTCTGTTTTTGCAGATGTACTTCTTTATTTTGACTTTGACTTTTTTGACAGTAAATCCATACATCCTCACTAGATTTTACTTGACTGCGTGGTACAGAGTATTAAAAGGAGGGGTTTTTTAAAAAGGAGTTTTATTTACAGCTCAAACAAAAATTTTAACAAAACTCAAGTAATTCAGTTTATAAAAATGGAATTATGAACATGCTATTCAGGTTTTAAATTCTAGTCCAAGCTCAAGTTATTTTCTCTAAATATTTGAGTTTTCTGAAATACCTGTTTTTATTAAAGTATGCAAAATGTGGTTAGGTTTTTCTGAAATTGGTTTTGTGCATATCAAGTTAGATATTGCTTTTGGCTAACCTAATGCTTGTCATTTTGAAAAGACAGTATGACAAAATTATATAAATTTTAAGATATAAAATAAATAATAAGACAATAATGACAAATTTCCACTTTCTAGTCTGATAAATATTAGGGGGACAAGTCTTTTCAAAAGGGATATGATCACTTTTCTGTATTTTCAGAATTTTTTGTACTGTGCATATATTACTTTTTAATCAGAAATAAAAAGTAAAGCTTTCAAAAACAATATTTAAAAGTAGCTTATTTACAGTTTAAGCTTTGAATCTCCAAAGAGGCTACTTGGTATAATGAAATTAAAAAAAACAGTATGTTATTATTTTATATTTACTGACCTTCTTGGGTGAAGAACAAAATCCTTAAATGTATATGGTCTCTCCATTCTTGGATTTTCTGTCTAGAATAAAACAGTAAGTTTTCAAGATAGATGTACAACACCAAAAAAGTATTTTAAGGAAATCTTCATGAACTATGATCTAAGCCTTGGCTGAAGTTAGAAGTGAGAAAAAGTGGGGTTTAGCTCATTTAATGTTTATAACAAGTAGTGCTTTCACTCTCCTGAGCCCTAGGAATTGCTGTGAGACCACGCCTCAGTACCAAACAAGCTGAGCAGGTGTGCACTGGGGAGGCCATAGAGGGAAGAAGTAAAACACAGGAGAGTGGTTAGAGTGTAGGGGCCATTCTAGGAGAACAAAAGAGTAAACGGCCTGGAGGGCAAGACTGGATTAAATATGTTATCAAAAGCTTGTGATCTCTAAAGACTGTAGAGTCAATAAATATCTCAAGAGACTGATATAGTAAAGAATACTTACTTCTCTTCCTTATCAAGTTAAACAGCCCTTTGCTTTTACTGTTCTTTATTTTTTGTTACTTTTTGCACTAACTACCCATTCAGTCTTGGAACTCTTAAATTCTCATGACTTTATCTTCCTTTATCTTCCCCCTCCCCTCACCCCTCTTTTTTCTTTGTCTGTCTTCTCCTCTGATAGGCCCACAATGACTAAGGGTCAATGTTCAACTTTTGGTGCTCTCACATCTCTTACTGGGACAGCCCATCATTCTCAGAGATTCTGTGGTCACCTCACTCTGAGACCTCTCACTCCTTCCAGGCTCTTTCTCTACACAATTGACTTATATATTTCTGTCAGCTGCCACTTTAGGCTCCATCTCAGTGGAGCTCCATCTCAGTCTGTTAAACATACGACTCGATTTTGGCTCAGGTCATGATCTCAAGGTTTGTGAGATGGAGCGCCATGCTTGGCTCTGTGCTGACAGTGTGGAATATGCCTGAGATTCCCTCTCTTCCTCTCTCTGCCTGTCATGGGGTTCTCTCTCTCTGTCTTCCTCTCTCTGCCCCTCCCCTGCCTCTCAAAATAAATAAATATTTTAAAAATCCTTAAAATAGAAAATTGGGATGAGTTTTCAGAAAATAATATGGTCAAGAAATAATAGTATACATTTTACAAATCAAATATTCACATTTATTATATTGTGTATCTATAATTATTTATTAGAAAAAATAATAAACTTAAAAATTAAAATCATGGACATCTATACCAACCGGTAATGGATAAAGAGGAACATCCACTTGACCTAGGAAATCATCTCTTGTCTACAAGAAAAAGAAGAAAAGAATAAGATTAGTAATATGCTCAATATTTTTAGAAATTTTGATAAGCTCTTGCCATCATTCATGAAAAAATGTAGAAGTCTTTTTTGTTGCTGTTGTTTAATCCTATGCCATATCCATGGAAATAAAAATAATAGGGTAATGGCAGAATAGAGTATATTACACTGTTCCTTTTACAGAGAATAATTATATACTCCAAAATATTATAAAAACAACTATTTGAAAGCACTATAGAGTTATCACAAGCAAGCAGAAAGTAAAGGGGAGTCAATCTTTGAAAGAAGGAATTGTATAGGGTAGGATGCCTATTTATTTACATGGCTTTTTCCCTGGTTGTACTTCACAGTTCATATGGTGGTATGGTTAGAATTCAGACATCTGACATCTTACTCATTTGAGGAAGCTGAAGACCTAGTTTGAGGCTAACAGCATAACTAAAAAGTGAGGGGATCAATCTCTGAAAGAAAGATGTCCCAGAAGTCCCTTGAAATCGATACATGAACTCTACCCAAATTCTTAGCTGATCCTTGAACTACATATATGAAAGGCAATAGCTAGAAGGTTCAGCTAAGTTAAAAACTTGCTAAAACAAAAATCAACGCTCTCACGGAAAGATAATAAAATTTACTGTCTCAATTATGTACCACATACACTGTCTAGTATACAAGAAAAAGTTACTAAACATGCAAAGAAACAGAAAAATGTGATCCGGTATCAAAAGTCAGTAATAGAAACTGACCACAAGACAAGCCAGATCTTGGAATCATCAGACAGAGAAATTAAAGCAGCTATTATAAAGATGTTCAAGGATTAAAAGGAAAATAAGGTCATAATGAGTAACCGGGAGGAGGGGGAGAATCTCAGTAGTGAAATGTAAACTATAAAACTGAATCAAATGTACATTTTAAAATATGTATAGAACTGAAAAATATAATAAAAAATATAATATCTGAATTAAAGATGACTGGATGGGCTTAATATGTGACTGAAGATGATAGGAGAAAAGCTCCATAAATTTTAATATATATTGGTAGAATGTACATAAGATGAAAAATAAGGACGACTTATGGAAAAATTTCAGGCAGTCTCACTTATGTGTAGCTGGAATGCCAGAAAGAGAGGAGAGGGAGGGAGGGAGAGAGAGAAAGAGGGAGAGAGAGCAAGAGAATAGGACAAGTGGAGAAAAAGAAGCCAACTTCCCCAAACATTAACATCTTATATAATTATAGCACAATGATTAAAACCAGGAACACTATTATTTGAGAGGAAATAGTAACACTTTTATATATTTAATCTTATATTCTTAAGTTTTTTAATTGTAAATAAAAACCGATATACATAACACATCTGTCACCCATAATATTTATTAAAGTATTTAAAGTAACTTGTGAAAAACCCTGACCCTCCAATCTCAGTTCTCAGAGTGAACCAGCGATAACTGTTCAGTAAACTTCTTTCAGATATTTACCTACACTTACCCATTCATATACTTTTTTTTATTAAGGTATAATAAACATACATCATATTAGTTTCAGGTATACAACATAATGAATCAATATCTGTATATACTGCAAAATAATCACTACAACAAATCTAACATTTATCACAATATATAACAGAATTTTTTTTCTCATGATGGGAACTTGTAAGATTTGCTCTCTTAGCAGCTTTATAATAGGCAATATGGTATTATTTATAGTTACCATGCTAAACATTACAGTCCCATTACTAATTTATTTTATAAATGAAAGTTTATACCTTTTGACTCCCTTTACTCACTTCATCCAACCCAACTCCGTTCCCTGGAAACTACCAACTTGTTCTCTATATCCATGAGCTTTTTTTATTTTTATTTTTTTTTAAGAATCCACAACTATGTGAAAGCATACGGTATTTGTCTTTCTCTGTCTGACTTATTTCACTTAGCATAATACCCTCAAGGTCCATCTATGTTGTTGCAAATGGCAAAATTTCATTCTTTTTTATGCTGAATTATATTCCATCATATATTCCATCATCATATTCCATCATATATATTCCATGTGTGTATATATATATATATACATATATACATACATGTATATATATATACACATGACATCTTCTTTATCCATTCTTCCACCACTGGACCCTTATGTTGTTTCTATGGCTTGGCAATTGTAAATACTGCTATAATGAGGTGGAGGTGCAGATATCTTTTTGAGTTAGTGCTTTCCTTTTTCCTTTTCTTTGGAACAATAGCCAGCAGTGAAATTGCTGGATCATATGGCAATTTTATTTTTAATTGTTGAGGAACCACCACACTATTTTCCATATTGGCTGTACCAATTTACATCATCAACAAAGCACATAGGTTCCTTCTTCTACACCTCCTCATCAACACTTGCTATTTCTTGTCTTTGTGATAATGGCCATTCAAACAGGTGTGTGGTGATCTCCGATTGTGGTTTTGGTTTGCATTTCCCTGATTATTAGTGATGTTGGACATCTTTTCGTGTGTCTGTTGGCCATCTGTATGTCTTTTTCTTTTAAAAAATGTCTATTCAGAGAACAACTCCAAATTGGACTCACAAATGTATGGCCAACTAATCTTTGACAAAGCAGGAAAGGGTATCCAATGGAAAAAAGACAGCCTCTTTAACAGATGGTTCTGGGAGAACTGGATAACAACATGCAGAAGAATGAAACTAGATCATTTTCTCACACCATATACAAAACTAAACTCAAAATGGATAAAGGACCTGAACGTGAGACAGGAAACCATCAAAACCCTAGAGGAGAAAGCAGGAAACAATTTCCTTGATCCCAACCACAGCAATTTCTTACTTGACACATCCCCAAAGGCAAGGGAATCAAGAGCAACAATGAACTATTGGGACCTCATCAAGATTAAAAGCTTCTGCACGGCAAAGGAAACAATCCATAAAGCTAATAGGCAACTGATTAAATGGGAAAAGATAGTTGCAAATGACATATCAGATAATGGGCTAGTATCCAAAATCTATAAGGAACTCACCAAACTCCACACCCGAAAAACAAATAATCCAGCGAAGCAATGGGCAGAAGACATGAACAGACACTTCTCCAAAGAGGACATCCAGATGGCCAGCAGACACATGAAACGATGCTCAGCGTCCCTCATCATCAGCGAAATGCAGATCAAAACCACACTGAGATACCACCTCATGCCAGTCAGAGTGGCTAAAATGAACAAATCGGGAGACTAGATGCTGGCGAGGATGTGGAGAAATGGGCACTCTCCTCCACCTTTGGTGGGAATGTAAGCTGGTGCAGCCCCTCTGGAAAACAGTGTGGAGGTTCCTCAAAAAATTAACAATAGAACTCCCCTATGACCCAGCAATAGCACTGCTAGGAATTTACCCAAGGGATACAGGAGTGCTGATGCATAGGGGCACATGTACTCCAATGTTCATAGCAGCACTCTCAACAACAGCCAATTCATGGAAAGAGCCTAAGTGTCCACCAACGGACGAATGGATCAAGAAGATGTGGTTTATATATACAATGGAATACTACATGGCAATGAGAAAGAATGAAATCTGGCAATTTGTAGCAACGTGGATGGAACTTGAGGGTGTTATGCTGAGCGAAATAAGTCAGTCAGAGAAGGATAGATACCAGACGTTTGCATGTATAGGTGGATTAAGAGGAACTTAATGGAGGAGCATGGTGGGGAAGAAGGGGAAAAATAGTTGGGGAGAGGGAGGGAGGCCAACCATGAGAGACTCTTGAATGCTGAGAACAAACTGAGGGCTGACGGGGTTGGGGGAGAGAGGAAGGGGGGGTGATGGGCATGGAGGAAGGCACTTGTTGGGATGAGCACTGGGTGTTATATGGAAACCAACTTGACAATAAACTATTTTAGGGGGAAAAAAAGAAAAGAAAAATGTCTATTCAGATCATCTGTTCATTTTTTAAATGAGTTTTTTGTTTGTTTTTGCTATTGAATTGTATGAAAAACCAAGAATACTGTTAGCTAATCTACAGATCTTACTCAAACTTCACCAATTGTCCCACTAATTTTGGCCCAGGATCTAATTCAGGATCACATACTGCATTTAGTTGTCATGTCTCCTTAATGTCCTTTAATCAGTAAAGTACACCAGTCTCTTTATCTTTCATAATCTTGATTATTAGGAGGAATGGCTAGTTATAGAATGTTCATCAATTTGGGTCTGTACAATGTTTCTTCATGGTTGAATTTAGATTATGCATTTTTTGAGCAAGAATATCATAAAAGTGACATTGGCACTTTTCTCAGTGCATTCTGTTAGTAGTCAATAAACACTGGAATCTTACACATTATGGACAGTTAAGGACCACTAAATATTTGAATAAAGTCTGTAACTTGAAAAGGAAAGACTTAACCCCCAAAAAACAAACAGAAAGAAGGGAGTCAGATGAATCAGTATCAAGTCAGACTGCAAGAGAAATACTTCAGAAATACTATAATATTTTAGACATAAGAGATGAAATGTCTGACAAAAAGGATAGGAGGTTATAAAAAAGAAGCACTAAAAGGACAAAAAAAAGAGAACTATTGGAAATTAAAAGTATAACTGAAATAAAAAGTTTAATATAGTATTGGAAAATAGAGTTAAAGAAATTTCTCAGAAAGTAGAATTAAAATACTATAGGATTCCCAGAATAAGGAAATTACAGGATAAATTTAAGTCCATATCTAATTAACAGGCATTCCAGAGAGGAAAAAGAGAAGGGAAGAAATTATCAAAGAAGCATTTTAAGAAACTTCCCTTGAACTCAAGGAAATGAATTTTGAGAGTGAAAGTCCACATTAAGTATTAGGCAAAATGCATGAAGAAAAGATGCACAGCAAGGTACATCACTGTGACTTTTCAGAACACCAGAGATAAAGCAATTCTAAAAGCATGGAGAGACACAAAACAGATCACACACAAAACTGAAAGACAAGATAATAATGCCTTCAAAATTGTGGGAGA